TAAGAGCACTGGCTGCTCTGCCAGAGGTCCTGAGTTCAATTCCCAGCAACCACATGGTGGCTCACAACCATCTGTAATGCGATCTGGTGCCCTCTCCTGGCCTGCAGGGATACATGCAGACAGGAAATTGTATACATAAGAAATAAATAAATCTTTAAAAAAAAAAAAAAAAAAGAAACTGCTTTTGGCCGGGCGGTGGTGGCGCACGCCTTTAATCCCAGCACTCGGGAGGCAGAGCCAGGCGGATCTCTGTGAGTTCGAGGCCAGCCTGGTCTCCAAAGTGAGTTCCAGGAAAGGCGCAAAGCTACACAGAGAAACCCTGTCTCGAAAAACCAAAAAAAAAAAAAAAAAAAAAAAAGAAACTGCTTTTGGATGTTTTGCTAAGTTTTCAAAGTGTTAATGGTTAGATTGAGAAGATTGCTTTTCAATATGGGTTTGTAGGAATTGTATGAGTTTTGGTTCCTCTAACTAGGTTTGGGATTTTGTTTAAGAAATTATATTTACACTATTGATATTAATGCACCCTGATTTTGTGGAGTTAAGGAAATATTTAAGTTTGATGTGAATACATCGAAGTTTTTCCTATGTTCTGTTAGCAAGAAAATTCAAATGATTGAGTTAATGTTGTAAGACGGAGAAAATTAACTATATATAGCACCATATATGCTAATTCAAATGGTTCTGTTAAGAGTTTGCTTTGTGTTGTAAGATTGGGAGAATTGTGACTATGTATAGCAATATTTATGTTAACCTGTTAATGGTAATGATGAAGCCAAGGGATTCTTTAAGTTTGTAGTCACCTTAAGAGTTTTTGGCTTAGAAAGGGCTTGAGGCAGCTAAGACCGCTGTGGTCACCTTGAACCTGATTCAAAAGAGAAATGCCATCTTTATCATCCTCTACTCCCATATTGGGAGGTGTAACAGCTATGGAGATTGCTGTAAGCCATTAATAGTTATTTTTTTATATATTAAGAAAGGGGGACCTGTGGGAGCCCGTTCTCGGGTTCCTCATGGCTTTACCCAGCAGGTCCACATAGAGGATGATTAGGACCACGGGCCTGAGTGCAGGTGTCTGAGATGGTCTGCACTTGGCTGTGCTGGGGGAGGAGGTCTTTTGCTCCACCCCTTGGCGTCTCCATAAAAACCCTGGGGCAGAGACAGTCGGGGCCCGTTGGAATAGGTTCCAGGCCCTCTCGAGGCTATCCTTTATTTTCTATCTGTTTATCTCCGCAATATTCTCCGCAATAAATCCTTCTATCTAATATTTCCTGCTGCTCGCACTCAAGAAAACTCTGGGGAACTGTGGGGGTGGTTGGGTAAACGCCCCACACTCTGGGCTTTTGTCTTTCTCTATTCTATATACCTTTCTTTACTTCTTACTCCATGACTTGCTGGGTAGCTGAGTGGCTGGCCCCTAATGTCCCCCTCTCTTCATTTTCTCTACTCCTCTATCTTCTCTTCCCAGATTTCCCCTCCTATTTATTCTCTATGCCTGCCAGCCCCACCTATCCTTTCTCCTGCCTCACTATTGGCTCTTTTGCTCTTTGTTAGACCATCAGGTGTTTTACACAGGCACAGTGACACAGCTTCACAGAGTTAAACAAATGCAACATAAAAGAATGCAGCACATCTTTGCATCATTAAACAAATGTTCCACAGCATAAACAAATGTAACACATCTTCAACCAGTATTCCAAAACATAAACTCATAGATCTTTCATTTAGTGTAATTTTGAGTACTTTTCGTGTTGCATTTATCAGTAGGCTGTCCCTTTTTACAGCTGAGTCAGTACTCTGTTTAATGTTTACCAGTTGTTGGACATTACATTTCATTCTTTTGTGATTTGTAAATCAAGCTAGTGTGGATATTTGATATTTTGTGGACATTATCTTCACCCCAACCCCTTGGGATGGAATTGTTGGATCACAGTATCTTAATCAGGACCATAAAGACAGGTGACCTCCTGGAAAAACTCTTTTCTTTGATATATTATGGTTGCTTTTTAGTTCCTAACCCTATTTTCACTTTTTAAAACCTATACTGGAGCCCAGCCTGGTCATCTTTAAACAACAAAATCTAACAATTATCCAAATTATTCTAATATTAATATAAAATCGGGAGTAGCCCAGCTGACCCTCCTCTCTGCTTTCCAAGATCCAGAAAGGCCCATGAAATTCCAAAGCTCCACCTTCTTCCTCCCTGTGTCTCTGTCCCCATCTGAGTCCACTAAAAACTGGTTTATTCTGGTCAGCTTAGCTTGGACTCCGTCCTCTGAATCAAGGTTCAGTTTATGGATAGTGTTGGGGGACAGAAACAAATGTCCTGCACAGCAAAACACCTTTACTATCTCTTCTTAGCAGGTATGGGGCCTCTTTTGTATTGTTGATTGTTCTTTTCACTTGTATACTTTGGCATTTTTATTACGAGTACAGTTATTTTGTGTGAAACTGTTTTGTTTGTTTATGTGTTGTTTTTAAGCAGGACTTCCCCAGATGTCCTAGGCTGTTCTTGAACTCGCTGTGCTAGCTCAGGCTGTCCCTGAACTTGCAGGATTTTAGCCTCAGCCTCTATTGTGCTATAATTACAGACATAGGCCACTTTGGCTGTTTATTGTTAGTACCTTTTTGTTTTTGTTTTTGTTTTGTTTTTCAAGATGGCTTCTCTTGTGTAGTTCTGACTGTCTTGGAACTTGCTCTCTAGACCAGGCTGCCCTCAAACTCGGGGATCTGCCAGCCTCTGCCTCCTGAATACTGGGATGAAAGGCCATGCACCACTTCGCATTTGTATCTGTGTGGGTGTATGCATGTAGTAGTATAGGTGTCCAAGAGGGAAGGAATATGTACGGATCAGCCTTGGTTAGAGAAGCTTGTTTTTCTGGTGGGAGGCAGTGAAGGTGGGAGACTCTAACTGATCAAAGTCACTGTTCTCAGGAACAGTAACTGCTGAGTGCTCAGCCTGCAGAGGATGTCTGCAAGATGCTCAGTGGGTAAGCGCACTCACTGCTGAGCCCGAGGACGTGAGTCGGGTCTCTAGAACCCACATGGTAGAAGAAAGGAACAGGTTGTCCTCTGACCTCCGACCTCCACACATCATCCTAAAAACACATAAACCCTAAAAAAAAAAAAAAAAAAAAAAAAACCTAGATGAGGCGCAATGACATTCATCCCTGGGTGGGGAAAGGCTCATGAGTGCCCACTCCTCCCCGAGGGGACACTGGCTGGAGAGTCAGTCATTTTCTCAGGGGTAGAGTCACTGTTAGGTTACCCATGATCCAGTACCCCACGATTCATGTAAGCAGCCCTAGTTCAACTCAGTGGGTCACACACACACACACACACACACACACACACACACAATTACAACACAACAAAACAGGCAGAGACACAAAAACAGGAACAGTCTTATTGGGAAGAAAAGGGAGCTCAGCAAGTCAGGGGGACAAGAGAGTGTAAAGGGGGAGTGTGGAAATGATCAAAATATATACACGTATGAAAAGGTCAAGTAATAAAATATAAACAGTAGCCGGGCGGTGGTGGCGCACGCCTTTAATCCCAGCACTCAGGAGGTAGAGGCAGGTGGATTTCTGTGAGTTCGAGGCCAGCCTGGTCTACAGAGTGAGTTCCAGGAAAGGTTCCAAAGCTACATAGAGAAACCCTATCTCAAGAAACCAAATATATATATTAAACCAACCTAATGGGTAGTATTATGATCCCCATTTTATAAGTGAAGAAACTGAAAACAGAACTATCCATTGTCTAAGGACTGATAGAGCGAGGTTTTGTTTTATTTAATAAGCTCTCATGTAGCAACCCTGATGGCCTGGAACTCAAAGAGATCTCCCTGCCTCTGCCTTGAATGCTGAAATTGGAGGAGGCCTGCAGCACCACAGCTGGCTTAGAATATTATTTCTATTCTCTTCATGTGTTTATTTAAGTTGTTGTTGTTGTTGTTTTGTTTTAACTGAGGCGTATGCGCATGTGGGTACAGGTGCCTGCTAAGGGCCAGAGGCATCAGATCCCTCTAACCTGGAGTTCAAGATGATTGTGGTACATCCTGTTTGGGTGCTCTGCAAGAGCCCTGGGTTTTTTTTGTTTTTGGAAAGATTCTGTTTTTGGAAGGGTGGGACTGGAGAGGTGGTTCAGCGGTTAAGAGCACTTACTGTTCCTGTAGATTGGGCTCCCAGCACTCATGGTGACTCACAGCCATCTATAACTCTCATATTCTCTTCTTGCCTCCTTGGGCACTGCACACATGTAACACACATGTAACACACATGTATACATCCAGGCACATACACACTCACTACATAAAATAAAGCTGTAGATAGTTAAGGGCCACCTGATGTGGGTGCTTGGAAACTTGTGTGGTCTGCAAGAGCAAGCAGTACACACTTGGTCTTCAGTTGGGAAAACTATTTGGGAAGGATTAGGAGGTGTGTCCTTGGAGGAACAGCATCACTGGGTGGGGGGGGGGGTGTGCTTTGAGGTTTCAAAAGCCCACACCAGGCCCAGCTAGTTCTCTCCACCTGGTGCTTGTGGGTCAACATCATAAGCTCTCGGGTATGCTCTGGGTTAAGCTCTGGGTTATGCCTGCCTGCTGCCATGATGGCCATGGACTCTACTCATCTGAAACTGTTAGCCCCCCAATAAACTCTTTCTTCTGTAAATTCGTTTTTGGGCTTGGTGTTTTGTCACAGCAACAGAAGAGTACTGAGACAGCACTCTTAGCTGCTGAGCCGTCCCTCTCTATCCTCAACAGTGTTCCATAACTGATTTGGTGTGATGATGCTGTCCTTTTTTTTTAAGCTGGCAACTGAATCTAGGGTCTTGAGCACTGTACCACTGAGCTAAACCCCTAATCTATCCTTTTTCTATTTAACAAATTCTCGAACTCTAGTATTTTTGTTTGGATCAATATGATGGGAATAGAAATGAGTGAACCCTGCTTCCTGGCTGCCGTCAGAGCTGCGTGTGCTAACATCGTCTTGTTTCAATTCCAGGGCATTTGAATCTGAAATTCGCTTTTACTCTGGAAATGACCCTCTGGATGTTTGGGACAGGTGAGTATTTGTCTATGGAAAGAACAACAGAGGCATTCCCAGATGAATCTCTTGGGCCTTTGTTCTCAAATTGAGGGATATGGAGTGTGAACAGAGCAGAAAGTGTTGTCTTGATGAAACAGACTTCCAGAACAGCCACAGTGGTTTTCTGAGGTGTTTGTTTTGCTGGACTGTGCATAGAGCCCAGGACTTTACACATGCCAAGGAAGGGCTGTGCTACTGAGTTACACTCCAGTTTCCCTGAGGTGTTGAAGATTGGAATATGACACAGCTTGGTTGTGTGTCTTTCTATCCTTTTCCCAGAGTATTTGTTGCAAGTGCTTCAAGGAAGTTTGAGAGTCAGAGGGAGGCTTAGGATATGTCACTGAGGACTTCTAAAGAAACACACTTTGAATATTTGGGAAGGATTAGGAGGTGTGTCCTTGGAGGAACAGCGTCACTGGGGGTGGGCTTTGAGGTTTCAAAAGCTCACACCAGGCCCAGCTAGTTCTCTCCGCCTGGTGCTTGTGGGTCAACATCATAAGCTCTTAGTTATGCTCTGTGTTAAGCTCTGGGTTATGCCTGCCCGCTGCCATGATGGCTATGGACTCTACTCATCTGAAACTGTTAGCCCCCCAATAAACTCTTTCTTCTGTAAATTTGTTTTTTGTTTAAAAAAATCAGAATAGAGGGCTAGAAGGTTGGCTCCTCTGTCGAGAGCACTGGCTGCCCTTCCAGAGCTTTGGGTTGGATTCCCAGCTCTGACAGGGCAGCCTACAGCCCTAGGTAACTCTAGTCCCAAGGGATCTTACGCCCTCTTCTGGCCTCTGCTGGTACTGCACACTTGTGGTACACAGACATGTAGACAAAAACCCATATACACAAATAATAAAATAAGCAAATCCATAATGGGTTGGATGTGGTGGCACACGCCTTTAATCCCAGCATTCAGGAGGCAGAGCCAGGCGGATCTCTGTGAGTTGAGTGTAGCCTGATCCACATAGTTGAGTACAGGCAGCCAGGGCTACATAATAAGACTCTGTCTCAAAACAAAAGCAAAACACCCATTCAGAATGAGGCTTAGAACTAGAGCAAAAGTATACATCAGTTCAAAATATATTCTGTTCCTTCTCCTCCTATTCAGGTATATTACCTGGACAGAGCAGAGCTATCCTCAAGGCGGGAAAGAGAGTAACATGTCAACGTTACTGGAAAGAGCCATAGAAGCACTACAAGGAGAGAAGCGTTACTACAGCGACCCCCGCTTTCTCAGTCTCTGGCTCAAATTGGTAAGTGTCATCTGAATTCAAAATATTAAATTGGCTTTTTCCCGTAGAGGTATTAAGAGTAAACATCTGGAAGCTTCAGTAACCATTTGAGCTGGCATGGTGATTCTCTGCTTGAGAGGCTGAGGCTGGAGGATCACAGTTTGATGCCATTCTGGGCCACACAGTTAGATCCTGTTTTATAAAATTAAAAGCCTTGAAAAAACAAAACAGACATTAAGATTGGGAGAACATCTAAATGCACCATCATTTTTTTAGTAGCTTCTATGTTTATTTTTTTTACAAGATTTTATTTATTTTTATTCTATGTGTATAAGTGTTTTCCTGTATGTAAGTGTGTTCTTGGAGGGCACTGGGTCCCCTTGGAACTAGAGTTACAGATGTTTGTGAACCTCCCTGTTGGTACTGGGAACTGAACCTGGGTCCTCTGCAAGAGCAAATCCTCTTAACCACTGAGCCCGTTCTCCAGCCCCAACTCTGTGTTCAGTGAATACCCTAAACCCAGACCTGTTAGTGTAGGACAGTAATCCAACTACTTGGGAGGCTGAGGCAGGAGGATCACAGAGCAAAGGCCTGCCTGGACAATATAATAAATATACTTGAGGCCAGCCCAGGGACGTTAGTAAGACCTTCTCTCAAAATACGGTAAGTACGCCGGGCGGCGGTGGCGCACGCCTTTAATCCCAGCACTGGGGAGGCAGAGCCAGGTGGATCTCTGTGAGTTCGAGGCCAGCCTGGGCTACAGAGTGAGTTCCAGGAAAGGCTCAAAGCTACACAAGGAAACCCTGTCTCGAAGAAACAAAAAACAAAAAACAAAAAAAAAGGTGTAACTGAAGGATCCCTCACACCACACCTTTCTTTCACTTTATGAAAAGATTTTTCTAGTCAGTTATTTTATAAATGATTCCTATAGTCTAGCTAAGGAAAAAATTATTACTAGAAAATCAATATTTTTAGTTAAAGAGGTAAATTAGTTTGAACATTTAGAAGTTGCCATAAAATATTTAACTTTTGAATCTAATTATCTAGCCATATGTCTTTTTTGTTTGTTTGTTTTCTTTTTTGCTGTTTTGGAACTTGCTTTGTACACCACACTCCAAGTGAGTTTTCCTAAAGCACCATCACGAGGAAACATTACTAATTTAAAGACAACATTATTTACTGAATTAAATTATGCAAACTTAAACTATGCAACAACTGTTTTTGTTAAAAATGTAAACAGAAGCTGGATAGAATAGTGCAAGTCTGTACTTACACTACTCAGAAGATTGAGGCAATAGGACCCTCAAATGTTTGAGGCAATAGGACCCTCAAAAGTTTGAGGCTAGACTGGTCTAATAATAGGGAGTTCCAAGCCAGCCAGGGATACATGGCACAACCGTCTCCAAAACCCAAAATAAAATAAGATTAAAAATTTAGATGTAATGTTTGATTTAGTCCACACTTACAAATAAAAAAATTTTAAATGGGATATTTCATTTATTCCAGACTAGTCACATAAAACCCTGGCTAGAGACAAGGGTCTTTGTAGGTAGCAATGCTTTCTACCTTTGTGGAGCCTGTTTTATGCAAGTGTTAATATTCTGATCCCGTCCCTTGGCACGACCCTATGCCCTGAAGTAGAAGCCTGTTCTTAAGGGAAAGCTCCGCCCCTTCCTGTCTCCTCTTCCGCTTTCCTCCCAGGAGGTGTGCACCTCTCCAGCCTCTCCCTCCCTCTTCCTCCCTCCCTCCTTCCCCTCCTCTGCCTCTCTCTCCCTCCCTCCCTCTTCTCCCCTCCTCTCCCATCCCCCTCCTCTCCCTCTGTCTGTCTTCCCTCTGTCTCCCTCTTTCTGTTTTTTTTTTGCCTCCTCATCTCTCTGTTATAATAGACCATTTCCACACGGCTGCAGTGTCTGGGTTGTGAATCTCTACCCACTGCCCAGTGGCAATGCCCACATGGACTGGGCCGTCCACCCTCCCGCCGCTGCCTCTGGGGGCCCTGCCGGGTACAATTCCTAACACACACTGGTACACCAGCACTCATACAACACACAGAAAGAGGGGAGACAGACAGACACAGACACATGTGGAGGCGTGGTCTCACTCGTAGCCCAGGCTGGCCCTGAACTCACTATTCAGACTAGGATGGCCTGGAACGAGTGGTAATCCTCTTGCTAGCGTTCACAGGGCAGTCACAGAAGCATGGGAAGTGATGCATGTTTTGTGGCTCCTCGGGCCGTCAGGCTTGTGTGACAGTCCTTGGCTGTTCCTCTCCACTCATACACACTTTAGCTGTGAGAATCCTGGGTGCTGGGCCCGGCTGCTCACCTAACCTCTCAGCACACAGAGCCTGCTTCCAGCTGCCTGAAGTGCTGCTGCCTAGTTCCAGCTGTCAGCGTTCTTTGGGAGTTTTCCCCCTTGAAGGGTCCTGACTGCCCCAGGTCATGTCCCCTTCCTGGGGACTGTAACCTTGGGCTGCTTGGTGTGGAGATAGAAAGGCTGGGCCTCCCCATGTCACCGGCAAAACCCTTTAGGTCATCCTAGCCATGAGCTCTCCCTGTGGGGTCGTTGCAGCTGCATTAAAGCCTAGTACTTCCTGTCCCCCTGTCCTTCCTAGGTGTTGGTCCCCACACGCCCCTCCTCATCTTCCTGTAGTGTGTGTTTCAGCAGGACGGACTCAACAGCAGTGTGCTGTAACGCTCTGTAGTGCAGTCTTAAACTCCGATTGGAATCTTGTCTAGTAGTCTAGTGGCCTGACTGACTGACTGTACTGTGATATCAGTCATAATAATACAAACATGGAGACTTGCTATTTATTCTGTATGTGAATTAACTATTTGTTCTAACTATTGATTTTATGTATTAAATGACATTGAATTATTGCTCAATAAAAATCTGAGGCCAGGTGTGGTGGCTCTCTCTGTAATGCTAGACTTGAGAGGCAGAAGAGGCAAGAGGATTACCATATGTCCAAGGCCATCCTAGTCTAAATAGTGAGTTCAGGGCCAGCCTGGGCTATGAGTGAGACCTGTGCCTCCAAAAATAAGTAAATAGATAGTATATTTATGTGTATATATAAAGAGTACAGTGAAATAAAACTTTCTTATTGGCCAGGAAGTATAGAAATATGTGAGAACATTTATAGTGTGGAACTTTTTTCCTCTTTTGCTGTTAAAATTTTCTCCACTATACCTGATTACATAGTTCCTTAAGTACAGACTTGACCAAATCTTGCCTTTGCTTTTAACTCCCAGCGCAGAATGTATTTACCGTCAGATAGAAGCAAAATCCATTGGTTTGACAGGTAAGACCTGTCAGAGCATTTTGCTCCAGACTCCCCACCGTGCCCTGCCTGGTAGGGGTTGTCCTGTCTTCACGTCTGCCGGACATTGGGGAGCACCCTGCTCTTCCCTGTGTATCTGCTGACAGTCCAGTTCCCGCTCAAGTCCATCAGTGCCACCTGTGTGAAGCCTTCCTTCCCTTTTCTTTTTTTTTTTTTTTTTTTTTTTGGTTTTTCGAGACAGGGTTTCTCTGTGCAGCTTTGCGCCTTTCCTGGGACTCACTTGGTAGCCCAGGCTGGCCTCGAACTCACAGAAATCCGCCTGGCTCTGCCTCCCGAGTGCTGGGATTAAAGGCGTGCGCCACCACCGCCCGGCTCCTTCCCTTTTCTTACAAATTGATCTCACACTCTTGTCCCTTTCTTGGGTCCCTATTCCACTATATCTAATACTGGGCTAAGTACAATACAGATGTAATACAAGTAGATTACAGTATAAGATCCATACTCCTCAGTGCAGAACTGCAGGTTGCTTCCCCAGTGGTTATTTGGCACACAACAGGTTGTTGACAAGTGGGAGGAGATTGGTGACTGGTCCCACTTTTACTGTGTTACAGGGACATCTGTGCAACGAGCCCTTGGATTTGTACAGCTATTTACACAGCCAGGGGATTGGCGTCTCTCTTGCCCAGTTCTACATTTCATGGGCAGAAGAATACGAAGCTAGAGAAAACTTCAAGAGAGCAGACGCCGTGTTCCAGGAAGGGATTGAACGCAAGGCTGAGCCCCTGGAGAGACTGCAGTCCCAGCACAGGTAGCTTCCCTGGAGCCTGCCTTAACCCTTATTTAAATATCCTAAGAATGCTTTGTAGAGTTACATTTACTTAATTACCATGTGGATTTTAAAGACGTTTTTGTTCTATGGTAAAATCCAGTGGGTGTGCTTACATGTTTTCACTGTTCTCAAGTATGGAATGATTCCATACCCTGTGTGAGAATACACTCATGCTGGTCTTTGTAGTTAATACCTGTTCTTTCCCCAACCCTCACAAACACCCCTCTGCCCGTCAGCCCTGTGGTTTCACTTTTCCAGAATGTCACAGAACAGCCACAGTCTGTAAACGTTTTGTTTGTTTCGAGAGAGGGTTTCTCTGTGTAACAGCCCTGGCTGTCCTGGAACTCGGTTGGTAGACCAGGCTGGCCTCGAACTCACTGAGCTCCTCTGCCTCTGCCTCTGGGTGCTGGGATTAAGGGCTAAAATGGCCTTTATTCCAGCCTTTTTTTTTCTTTAATGATTTATTTTTGTAACCTTTTGAGTTTAGTTTCATTAACTGTGCTTTTAAGAATTCCTTATATGTTCTAAATACAAGGCTTTTGTAATAGATATGATTTGTAAGTATTTTTTCCTAGATTAAATGGTTGTTTTTTTTTAATTTATGGCGTTGGGAGATGGAACCCAAGGCCTCACTAATTATTCTTTTTTTTTTTTGGTTTTTCGAGACAGGGTTTCTCTGTGTAGCTTTGCACCTTTCCTGGAACTCACTTGGTAGTCCAGGCTGGCCTTGAACTCACAGAGATCCGCCTGGCTACTAATTATTCTTTTAACTATCTTATAGAATAAAAATTTTCTATTTTGAAAAGCTCCGCCGGATGAATTAAGCTTTTTGTGTTGTGTCTGTCTAGTCTGGTTCCTGGTGGTAATGGCGGCTTCTGTTCTCGGGTCACAGGACCCGACGTCCTCCTCTGGCCTCCACGGGTACCAGGCACATATGTGATGCACAGACAGACACACAGACAAAACACCCCTACACATAAAATAAAAATTGAATTTAAAAAATTAAATGCTTTTACTTTTATCTCGTGGGTCCTAGTTATAATAGTTATTTTAAAATCTGAAAATAATACAATTTTTTAAAAATAAGTGCTGAAAACATAAACATTTGGGTAATCTCAATGTCAGCATTCGTCATTGGTTTTTCCCTTGAAAATTAGTCACCTTTTCCTGCTCGTTCTTTATGTGTCAAGGAATTATGAGTTCCGTGCAGGGCATTCATTCTGATAGTGTGCTGGGTCCTGTTGATTGACAGTCTCTGGAGAGTGAGTGGTCCCAGATGTCACAAATTCTTTCTCACCTATGGCAGCGGTCCTGCCGTCAACTGAGCCCTAAGTCCTCTGTGGTGTTTTGCTTGGTCTCCTACAGACTGCTGGGCTAGTGTGAGACTTGGGCAGTGGATTGTGTCGTTCCTCTCCAGTAGTCTAATCGTTTCCGGCCCTCAGAATCCCTTTCCCGTTCCTTTGGACAGAAAGAGAGGATTTCTCAAGGGGTTGTAGGTTTCCCAAATCACCAGAGAAAACAGAAGAGGCCAAACAGAAAACAGCCCAGTGGAGGATGTCGAAGCGCCATCCCTCCACAGGTCACCTGCTTTTGTTAGCCTCCAGAGCCGTGGGCTTCTCTTCTCATGGGTTCGGAGTTAAACTGGAGCAGTGGGAAAGAGAGAGGCTGCAGCAGTTGTACCGTGCCCTGGTGAGCACCTACAGTCTAGAGACTCTTCTGTTTTTCCAGTATACTTTCAAATTGTAGCAGCAACAGCATACAAGTTATATGTTCAAATTTCTGCCAGCTGTGCTAAAGTAAGATGTCATGTTGTGTGTAAACTCATTTCATATGGGTAAGAAAAAACTGTGGGGGGCAGGGAGGGTTGTGTCAGGATACTAGTGAAAAAACTATGGGGGTGGATATGTCAGGATACTAGTGAAAAAATTGTGTGGGGGGGTGGATATGTCAGGATACTAGTGAAAAAACTGTGTGTGGGGGGTGGATATGTCAGGATACTAGTGAAACAACTGGGGGGGGGTTGGATTTTTTTTTTTTTTTTTTTTTTCAAGACAGGGTTTTTCTGTGTAGTTTTGGAGCCTGTCCTGGAACTCACTCTGTAGACCAGGCTAGCCTTGAACTCACAGAGTAAGTGCTGGGATTAAAGTCGTGCACCACCACTGCCCGGCCAATTCTGCAGTTTTTATTTTTAATTTTATAATACAAGTTGCTGAGAAACAATGAATTTCATCAATTTTCTAGTCTTAGCTGATGCTCAAATCAACCTGATGATGATTTTTAAAGTGTTCTCAACGGGTCAGACTTGAACATTTTAACGGATCCTGAGTCATCCCAGCCTGGATGTCCTTATGTCTTGAGCTTGCTCTCCTTATTCCTGGGGAACACTTTCCTGGGGATAGCTATACACTGTTTTCTCCGGTCTGTTCGTCGTTGTGTGAGAACTGGTCATTTAATAAAAGCCAATTGTCCCTGTCATGTGTTAGACAATTCCAGGCTCGAGTATCCCGACTAGCTCTCTTGGCACTTGAGAAGGAGGAGGAGGAGGAGGTCCTGGGGTCTTCTGTACCACAGAGAAGCACGCTTGCTGAGCTGAAGAGCCGAGGGAAGAAGACGGCCAAGGCGCCCATCAGCCGTGTGGGAGGCGCTCTGAAGGGTGAGCTCGTTGTTAAATGCTATTTTGGAGAACCTGTAGTCTCCTGCGGTGGGCAGATTATATAAGTAGACAACACACAAATACACATGTGGACACTGTCCCAGTTTTCTGAATACTAGGTAGCAAAAAGAAAAGCCAAAAAAAGCTAGTATCATAGGGTGCAGGAAATCCAGAGGGGCAGCTCTGTGTCATGACTGTGAGGAAACCTGAGATATATATATATATATATATATATATATATATATATACGTTTTGGTTTTTTGAGACAGGGTTTCTCTGTGTAGTTTTGGTGCCTGTCCTGGATCTCGCTCTGTAGACCAGGCTGGCCTTGAACTCACAGAGATCCGCCTGCCTCTGCCTCCCAAGTGCTGGGATTAAAGGCATGCGCCACCACTGCCCAGCATGGAAACCTGATATTTGAGATGCCTCATTTTCTAAGCACTGTAGTTGAAAGAAGATATGTCGTAATGTATTAGGTATTATGGAAATAAAGCTTAAATGTATTAATGCCTCAGAGAATACTATTAATGTAGTTAAGAATATCATTTTCACTGGGTGGTGGTGGCCAGAGGAGGGTTTCTAGAGTTACAGTTATTATGAGCCATCCCATCTGGGTGCTAGGAACTCAGCTCAGGGCCTCTGCAAGCTCATGTGCTCTTAACTGCTGAGCTATTTCTTCACCCCAGTTTAAGGTTTTTGAAAGAAAAAATCTTATCAATCTTGTTTTGACTCTGGTAGAGGAAGTATCCCCTTAATGTGGAGCAGACCGTGTATATCTTATATCTGTCTAAGTTGATAATCAAAGCTTTTCCATGACATGTTCGTATTTTTCTCCTAGCTCTGGGTCAGAGCAGAGGATTCCAAAATACAATTCCTCAGCAGATGCACAGTAATCGCAGGATCACTGTTTTTGATGAAAATGCTGATAACACTTCGAGGGCAGAGTTACCTAAGCCTGTCGTCCAACCCTGGATGGCACCCCCTATCTCTAAGGCCAAAGAGAATGAGCTGCAGCCGGGCCCGTGGAACGCGGACGGACCCTTGGATTATAGGGTAAGGGCTCATAGTATTTGCCAGTCTAACGATGGTTTCAGATTGGTCTGTCTTGGTTGGTTGTCTGTCTGTCTGTCTGTCTGTCTGTTTGACACAGGCGCTCTCTCTGTTTAGCTTAGGCTAACCTTGAACTTGCTGTGTAGCCCAGGCTGGCCTTCAACTTTCCATGCTCCGGCCTCAGCTTTCCATGTGCTAGCATTACGTAAAGTCACACCCCGTCCTGTGTGGCTGTATTTGAACATCACTTAGTTTCTTGACTATTCAGAGGTTATCTGCGTAAGTTATGACAGAATGTGAACTAGTCGTTTCCTTTCTTCCTTCCTTTTCAGCCTCATGGCAGTTCAGCAGCCTCTGTACTAGCTGTACCCCCTTCGCTTCCCAGCTTTACGCCCTATGTGGAAGAGAGCGCCCAGCAGTCAGTCATGTGAGTGGCCTCAGACCGTGTGCAGTGGGATTACTAAGGCTGGCAGAGGTACCTGTTCTCTAGTCCCGATGGCATCTTCTGGTGGGAGTGAAGACCGACCAAGCTCTGTGTCTCCTTTGTATTCACTGTACATGCTAGAGCCGAACAACTGAATGAACTTTTTTTTTGTTTTTTTTTTTTTTTGGTTTTTTTGGTTTTTTGAGACAGGGTTTCTCTGTGTAGCTTTGGAGCCTGTCCTGGAACTCACTCTGTAGCCCAGGTTGGCCTCGAACTCACAGAGATCCGCCTGCCTCTGCCTCCCGAGTGCTGGGATTAAAGGTGTGTGCCACCACTGCCCCATTCTTCTTCTTCTTCTTTTTTTTTTTTTTTAAGACAGATCTCACTGTGTACCAAAGCTGTCCTGAAACTTGCTACTTAGACCACGCTGACCTTGAACTCACAGAGGTCCTCCTGCCTCTGCCTCTCTAATGGTAGGATTCTAGGCATGTGTCACTACTCTGGCTCCTTTTTTAAAATTTATTTTGATTAGGTTTCGTGTGTGTGTGTGTGTGTGTGTGTGTGTGTGTGTGTGAGAGAGAGAGAGACAGAGAGACAGAGAGACAGAGACAGAGAGAGGAGGAAGAATGCCATAGTGTGCATGTGGAGGTCAGAGGACTACTCAAATGCTGGGATTATACTCCAGCACCCTCAGGCCCAGTCAGGTAGTTTTTCTGAATGATTTGTAGTTGCTCTTCCTAAGTTCAGAGAATCATTCTTTGCTGGAATGTCTCCCACCGAACTATGTTAATCAACTTTCTGTCGTCCTAAATACCTGAGACAAGCAGCTTATAGAAAGAAAGGCTTATCTTGCTCATGGTGTAAGAGGTTTCGGTGTGTGGTCTCTTGGACTTGATGGCCCTAAGTTACTAAGTTTTCTTCAAAGCATAGGTGGTCCTCAGAACTCATACCTCCCCGCCCTAGTGTTGGGCCCAGACTCTGTGCTCTGCCACTGAGCTCTAGAACATAATTACTGGCGATTCTTGAGGGTTATTTTTCGCTCCATTTAAAATCTTACTTGTTTTTGTTTTGGAAATGATCACATATAGTCCCAAGGCTGGCACTGTCCATCTGTTTGGGCAAAATACATAAGAAATAACTCATTTTGACTTTGGAGTGAATGATAATTGTTTTGCTTCTTTAGGACACCATGTAAAATTGAACCTAGTATCAACCACATTCTCAGCACCAGAAAGCCTGGGAAGGAAGAAGGAGACCCCTTGCAAAGGGTTCAGAGTCATCAGCAAGGGTCTGAGGAGAGGAAGGAGAAGATGATGTACTGTAAGGAAAAGATTTATGCTGGAGTCGAGGAGTTCTCCTTCGAAGAGATCAGAGCTGAAGTGTTCCGGAAGAAACTGAAGGAGCGAAGGGAAGGTGTGTGCGTTGTTCTAAGAAATACCTCCTTTCAAGTCTAAGAGAGATTGGCTCCATTACTTGTACCTTTGTGTGATGTTTCTATGGCAGGACAGTTGTTCTCTGTGTGCGTATATATACACTATACATAGGCTGAACTCTCATTGCCGCCTCCCAGGAAACCTTTGATGGAGCACAGAGTCTGTGCTCCAGAGTAAGAGAAGAGAAGGTGGCCAGACTGCAGGGGCAACCATTTCACAGCAGAAGCAGGCGGCTGTGACCCTGGCATGCATATAGGTGCACACCTCCTTTAATACTTTACCTTTCTTTTTTTTAAAAATATATCTTTTTTTTATAATTTATTTAATGTGTAAATTTACTAATTTTTATTTGCCTAAATGTCTGTCTGTGTAAGGGTGTAGGAGCCCTAGAACTGGAGTTACAGACAGGTGTGAGCTGCCATGTGGGTGCTGGGAATTGAACCTGGGTTCCCTGGATGAGCAGCCAGTACTTTTAACCACTGAGCCATCTCTCCAGCCCATACCTTACCTTTCTTAATGTTGCCTGAAATACTCAGCCTCAATTTCTCTGGCAGTTGATTTGTATTAACATATTCAGTCATATCTCAGCCACTTATGTAGTTATTTATATATTTCTTCAAGTCATTATCTCATTCTGAAATTAAGGGAGGATTGAAAGTTGAGGGGAACAGAAAGCAGTTTCTGTTGTGGAGCTATCTGTTTGGTTTAGGTGGAGTTCTCGTGTCCCCCAGTCACTCTCAAATAAACACTCAGAGGCTCAGTAGTAATTACAAATGCTCAGTTCTCGTGTCCCCCAGTCATTCTCAAATAAACACTCAGAGGCTCAATAGTAATCACAAATGCTCAGCTGATAGCTCAGGCTTGCTACTACCTAACTCTTACATTTAAATTAACCCATTTCTTATCTATGCTTTGCCACACGGCTCATGGCTTGTTACCTCATTTTCTACGCATCCTGCTTCCTCAGTGGCCGGCTGGTGACTCCTCTGACTCTGCCCTTCCTCATCCCATCATTCTTACTTTGGCTTTCCTGCCTAACTTTATCCTGTTCAGCTCTTGGCCAGTCATCTTGTTTATTAAGCCAATCATAGCGACATGTATTCACACAGTGTACAGAAGGATTACCCCACAGCAGTTTGGGGTGTTAGGAGGGACAGAATGGACTGATAAATAAGAAAGTGAATATTGGAGACTTTAGGGCTTAAGAACAAAAGGGTAAAATAAATTTCAAATGATATATTAAAAAATGGACCCTATGTGCCAATGTGGGAAGGAGACCTGGCTGCAGAGCAAGGGGCCAGGAGAGTGAGGCTTTTTGTTGTTGTTGTTGTTTTTGAGACAGGGTCTCATCTCACTGTCTAGACCAGGCTGGCCTCAGCCTCCTGGGTGCTGAGATAAAGGTGTGTGCCACTACACCAGACTGACTATGGCCTTTTTGAAATCAGAACTGAAGGGCTGGAGAGATGGCTCTGCAGTCAAGGGTGTTAGCTGCTCTTACAGAGGGTCTGGGTTCTCTACCTAGCACAGACAGCAGAACTCACAGCTACCTTAGCTCTAGTGTCTGGGGCTCTGACGCCCTCTTCTGGCCTCTGTGGTACCAGGTACACAGAGGTACACAGGCATATGCAGGGCAAGCACCTGTACACTTAAAGTGTTAGGAAAAATAACTAAAAACAGGAACTGGGGGTCGGTCCAGTGGTTACTGGGTAAAGGAACTTGCTGCACAAGCCTGGTGACCTGAGTTTGACCCCTAGGACCTGCGTCAAGCTGGAAGGAGGGAACCAGCTCCATAGAGTCGTCTCCTGTGGCAGGCATGTCGCACACACCATGCACACACAATAATAGTACAAAGTTTTTAGAACAGGAACGGAGCTGGGAGCTGAGGATCAGTGCTGAGTGCTTGTAAGTGTGAAGACCTGAGGTCACTGACTCGGGCACAGAAAACACCACCAGAACCCCCAAAGAGCCTGTCAATAATAAATGAGGAGGATGTACCTCGATAAAAATACTTTTCTAAGGAAAATTTCTAGTTTATTCCTACTCTACAGAAGTGTGATGAAATGCACTCTGTTCTCAGCCGAAGAAATCCCCGTGCTGAGGTTTAGCGGGATTTGTGTAGATAAATTTAGTCTTCTCTCACATTTTCCAGTCTTAATCTGCAGCTCTGAGTTCCTCCCATAGTTCACTGGGAACTGAAGCGTCTCACTCCTCAGCACTGTCGAATCTGCCATCTTACTTGCCATCTCTACCCACTCACCCTCCCAGGCATTCTTCCTGTAAATGCTGTTTACATTTCTCTCTTAGTTTTAGAGTTCATCTTTTGTCATGCCAGGTATTTGGCCCAGACAGTGGTTCTTCCCTCCAGCATTTTCTCTTTCTACTATTTTCATCATGCACATAGATTCCCATTTCTTTTTAAAGTTCTTTATTATCCCTGTGTTCTTCTCAAGATAATGGCTCATCTTTCTACTTCCCCAAAGCACAAACTTCCTTCTCTTAAAAAAAAAACCAAAACAACAAAAACAAAAACTTGCTCATTATTCAGGCCCTCGTGGGGGGGCCGAGAATGACACTCTTCAGTTGTTTCTCTACCTTTACGTGGGTTCTGGAGATGAACTCAGGCTGCCAGGTTGCATCTTGGGGTGACAAAGGCTTTTAACCACTGAGCCATCTTCGTGGCCCTCTCTGTGCATGGGGAAGGTCCAGGGTTTGCATTCTGTCTTAGTCCCTGTTCTGTCGCTGGGAAGAGACTCCATGAGCAAGGCAACTCTAAAAAGAAAGCATTTAATTGGGGCTGGTTTACAGTTTCAGAGGGTTATTAGTCTGTGGTCATCATGGTGGGAAGGAAGCATCCTTGCATGCAGGCAGACGTGGGGCTGGAGAAGTAGCTGAGAGGAGACACACTGGGCCTAGCTTAGGCTTTTGAAACCCCAAAGCCTACCCCCAGTGACACGCTTCCTCCAACAAGGCCACGTTTCCTAATCCTCCTTAAGTAGTGCCACTCCCAGCACACATTTATATGTGTGTGTGTATTCACATGTTTGCACATTTGTGTGGAGACCCAAGGTTGACACTGGGCGTTTTCCACGATCACTTTCTACCTCTTCATTGAAGTGGAGTCTTGATAAAAGCCGGAGCTCGCCGGGCGGTGGTGGCGCACGCCTTTAATCCCAGCACTCGGGAGGCAGAGCCAGGCGGATCTCTGTGAGTTCGAGGCCAGCCTGGGCTACCAAGTGAGTTCCAGGAAAGGCGCAAAGCTACACAGAGAAACCCTGTCTCGAAAAACCAAAAAAAAAAAAAAAAAAAAAAAAAAAAAGCCGGAGCTCACCTATACACTGGTCTGGCCAGCCAGTTTGCTCTGGGAACTCCCCTCCCCCACCTTCCAAGTATTGGAATTGCCGGTGGGCCAGCACACTCAGACAGCGTTTTATGTGGGTGTTAGGAGTGTAAGGTGTAGTCCTTGGATGGCTGGCACTCTAACGCTGAGCCATCTCCCCAACCCTAGACGTCCTTGGGTGTCTGGTCAGTCTTCTTATTGCCAGTGTTCTCCTAGGCATTCCTTTATTCCTGTCAGACAGCCCTGGTCATGGCCGTCAGAAGCCCTTCTGCCGAAACCAGTGCCTGTTTCCTCACGACACCACTTGACTACCTCTCCAACCCCATCTTTTACTGCTTTCCTTCTTACTTTGCTACGAGCAAGCTGGCTTGGCTCTGGATTCTTCAACACAGTAGTCTCTCTTCCTGTATTAACAGACTTTCCCTGATCTTTATATGACTGGTCCCTCTGCATTCAGGTGTTAGCTTTATCATGGCACTTTATCAAAATGATTACTGGTCACTGGTCTTTAATAGCCGACCTTCACACCTCCATCCACACTATACACAGTTTTATACCCCCTATTTGGGGATGCAGTTGTTTGACATTTTTTGCTGTGCTGAGTATTGAGCTTGCACTATAAGCCAAGTGCTCTATCAGTGGCCTATAGCCTCAGTCCTGTGTATCCGTCTGTCCTGTCCGCCCCCCCCCCCCCCCCTTATTTTGGTGGTTTCTTGTTTTTTGCTTGCTTATTTGTTTGAGCAATAGTCTCATGTAACTTACTGGCCTTGAACTTACTGTGTATTTGAGGATGGTATTTGATTTTGGGATCTTCCTTCCTCTACCTCCTAAGTACTGAGATTGCAGGCGTATATCACCATGCCCTGGTTCGTGCAGTCCCAGGATTTCGTGATAGGCAAGCACTCTACTAATTAAGCCATATTCCCTGCCCTGTGTTAGGAATAGACACTTTTGGTGCTTTTGAGAAAGTCTTGCTTTGTAGCCCAAGCTAGCTTAGAACTCTGAATGATTTTCTTATTTCTTTGTGTTTCTGCCATATTTGGATGTTAGTATCATACAGCCAAGGACTTGGTATCACTGGAACCTATTTCCCATTGGACTTGTGCATGATAGGTATTGCTTTTTTCCCCCCTGATTACATACATGAAAGAATAGAGGCCCAGACCTCAAACTGAGGACTCATTCCCCTGTTCTCCTTTTCCTCAGTTGACCTGAAGCTGTGAGCTGAGGCAGTCTTTGCATTAACTTGACAATAGGAGCCCGAGGAGGTCTTCCCAGGAGGAATTGTTGTGAGGGGAATGCCTCAACTAACTTCGCTGTTTTGCAGCTGAACTGCTGACCAGTGCAGAAAAGAGGGCAGAAATGCAGAAACAGATTGAGGAGATGGAGAGAAAGCTGAAGGAAATCCAGACTATTCAACAAGAAAGAGCCGGTGACCAGGTAAATACAGAAAACTCAGGCCTGGCTGGCAAGAGTCCTACCTTTAATCTCTATGCCCAACCTAAAAAAGACTTTCTGGGTAGTTTTTCAGTTACTACTAGCACAAAAATAATGGAACAAGTGATTTCAAATGGGATTTACGACATGAAATGAGTGATGGAACTCACTGACTTCTAGATTATAGTCTTACTTTAGTAATTCTGATGTTAACTAACTTTCTACCTTAATCATGGTCCGTTAAAAGGGGGTAATTTTTTTTTCCTTTTTCTTTCTTTTTTTTTTTTTTTTTTCCCGAGACAGAGTTTCTCCGCATAGTTTTTGGTGCCTGTCATGGATCTTGCTCTGTAGACCAGGCTGGCCTCGAACTCACAGCGATCTGCCAGGCTCTGCCTCCCAAGTGCTGGGATTAAAGGCGTGCGTCACCGCCACCTGGCTAAAATGGGGTTCATTTTTAAAATTCAATATATACTTGCCGCTGCTCAGTTGAGTCCAACAGTACCAATTTGACTAGGAACCTAGATTATCTGAGAGGCCTTTTGTGGTGCTGACATCTGATGTGGTTGGCAGATGTTAGCACCAGAGTTTAAAAACAGCATTTTCTGTATGGGAAGGACACTGGTTTTATTTATGTTAATATAAGCAGCAAGAAGAGAAGGTGCCTACAGAGGAGACCGCCAGACTGCAGATTCCTTCGGAGCCCCAGGAAAGACTGGCAACATCTCTGTCCCGTTCTGTCTGTCCACCAAGCTCTCACCCCAGGTAAGACCACTTTGGTGGAAGGTGTGGTGCTGACAGGTCATAGGACAAACTTTTGGCTCTGGTGACTTGAAGTCTCTTTAATGTCTTGGCAGTACTGAGTCATGAGTTTTACAAATTATTTTAATATAAGGTTTCATACTAATGAGGGAATATATGATACTGTCTTTTCCTTGGTGAAAATAAAAATAAATGTTTCTAGAGCCTGGTGCATGTACAGTGGTACATCCTGTAACCCTAGCACTTGGGAGCACCCTAGACAGGGGAGTCAGGAATTCCAGGCTAGTAGCCATTGAGACTGGCCTTGGGATACATGAGGCCCTGTCCCCCCACAGAAAAATGCAGATGCTAGTATTCAGGCACTGAAACAGAATGATCAAATCACCAAAGTCAGTCCAGCCTACATGGCAAGATCTTATCTCAGAAAAGCAAAATGTGAGACGGGGGATATACTGAAAGTTTATTACATACTGTATGAATGTCCATGAAGCCCAGTACTGTGTATAGTGAATATATACTAATTAAAATCAGAACTCAAAAAATTACCAACAAGCTAACTGCTGTTCACACTAATATGTGTCTTCTTTGGTACTGTTAGTGTTGTTTTATAAAATTGGTGGCTTACCATTTTATAGTCTGCTTTAACAACTCTTGTGTTATCAAATGTATTTAGAGCATTTTCAATGTGTTTCCTCTTCAAGATAATTTGGATTAATAGTGGTAGGATAATACGTTTCTCTTAAGATGAACAAAATTATGTTTAATGGGAAGTCTTCAAACTTTAAAAGCAATATGACGGAGTATGTGGCAGATACTTGTAATCCTAGCTCTTGGGAGGTAGCTGATCACGACCACCCTGCACAGTAGTTAGTAGAAGGCTGCCCCGGAGGACAGTATGGGATCTGTCTCTAAAACAGAAGGCTCTTCCTGTGGGTATTGAGCACATTTTTTTTTAAACAAATTTCTTCACAGGGAAACTTCACCAGCTAAAAACATTTTGCAAGAACAGCCTGTCTCTAAAGGTAAGTTGTGTTTGACAGCATTGGGGGGATCCCCGAGAGCAAATGCACCATGTAACAGTCTGTAGTAAAGTAGCTGAAGAGGACAGACACAGTGGGCTTAGAGTCTTGTTTGTCTTTAAATAAAGGAACTCAGTATAAGCACGTAATTCATTATATGTGATGATATGAGAGGCTGTTTTCATAAGATTTTTCACTACTTTGAAATGCTTCGTTTAGGGCCAGCAGAGTGACAGGTAGACGCTTGCTGCCCAACAACCTGAGTCTGATCATCAGAACACACTGACCCTCATGTAACAGGTCTTTGGACTCTCAGCTCCTGAATAGTGACATGGAGGCTTCTTACTAATTTTGAAAGCTTGGCCTTAGCTTAGGCTTTTTCCCAACTAGCTCTTACAACTTAAATTAACCTGTTTATATTAATCTATGTTCTGCCATATGGCTCGTAATCCCCTCAGTACCGTATGTCCAGCTTCCTCTTGCATCTGGCTGGCAAATCTCCCACCTCAGATTCTTTCCCGAGTTCCTACCTCTGTCTGGAAGTCCTGCCTAGCCTCTCCTGTCTAGCTATTGGTCGTTCAGCTCTTTATTAAACCAATCAGAAGGTGCCTTAGGCAGGTGAGGTTAAATAGACATGTCTTCACAGTGTACAAAAAGATTATCCCAACACCTTCACAGTCATCAAGACACACATGGGACTGCACAGATATGCTAACACACATGTAAACAATTGTGTTTCCAATCCTCCGCTTTCATTACTCTGCACTTAGACAGCATTAACAGGAGTAGCAGCCAGCCCTGTAAGGAAAGTAGCCCGTGGAGAAGGGGATGCCGTGAACATTCAGACTGGTTGGTTTATGGGTTTTTTGTTTGTTTGTTTGTTGTTTGGTTTTTTGTTTTGTTTTTCAAGGCAGGGTTTCTCTGTGTAGTTTTGGAGCCTGTCCTGGAATTCGCTCTGCAGACCAGGCTTGCCTCGAATTTAGAGAGATTAGCCTGCCTCTGCCTCGCAAGTGCTGAGATTAATCTCAGGCATGTGCTGCCACCACCTGGCTTTTTTTTTAAACACACTTTATTTTATTAATTTTTTAATGTGCATTGTTTGTGAGTGTTTTTGCCTGTTTATATGAGAATATCTGAACTGGAGTTACAGAGAGTTGTGAGTTACCATGTGGGTGCTAGGAATTGAACCCGGCTCAACAGCTTTTGGAAAAACAGCCAGTGCTCTTAACCACTGAGCCGTCTCTCCAGCTCCAGATTGGTTTCTTTCCTAAGAATGTTAAAAATGCTAGGCTTCCCATCTGTTAAGCTTAGTTGAAAAAGATTATACATTTTTCCTCTCAGTTTCTTTTTGTATCAGTGATTATTGTTGTATAAAAGCTATCAAAGAAAAAAATGTAAGCTATGAAAAGAGACCTCAGAGCCAGTAAACTCAGAGCCAGTAAACGCACTTGCCACCAAGCCTGGTGAGTTGAGTTCAATCCCAAGACCTGTGTGGTGGACGGAGAGAACTGACTTCCACAAGTTTTTCTCTGATGGCCACATGCTTGCCCACCCGTCGTGTACACACACAAAATAAATATTAAACCAAAAGACTTAAGACATACTAAAATGTTTGAAGTGGTAAAAACACGAATATCTCCTTAGAAGTAGTTTTGTAAAACATAAATCTAGTGGGCCTCTGATTCCAGCCAAGATGTAGGGAGCACCAAGCAGAGATGCATGTTGAGTAACAGAGGGGAGTAACCGGCAAAATCGAGCATGAAGGGACCAAAAAAGAATAAATAAAAGGTTTAAGAGGGTTTTTTTTTTCATATTTATCAATTTGTGTACGTGTGTGCATGCATGTACTGGTACATAGGCGGAGGTCAGGGCGACATTCAGGAGTCGATTCCCTCTACCAGGTCAGTTCATGGGATCAAACTCAGGCCGTCAGCTTCAGTGGTGAGAGCCTTTTGTCCATGGAACCTTCTCACTAGCTCCAGAGTCAAAGCTTTAGAGGTGTTTGGATCATTTACAATACACAGATCTCATTATGTATTTCCAGTTCAAACACCTGCAAAAAACATTGTAAACAATTACTAAAATGTTGAACTGGCTAGATACTCAGAAATTATTAGTTATATAGGTATTATGTCTTAAATAATAAAAAGAACCTTTTAGAGGGCTTACAAAAACACACTGAAATATTTGCAGATGAAATGAAGTGTTCTGGATCTGCTTAAGGGCCATGTCAGGTGGATTTGGGAAGCAGTAGCATTGCTGGGAACATAGATGAAGTAGGGTCATGCATGTTTAGATAATTATTCTGAAATGATCTCTACTTAACTTTCTCATTAGAAAAACCAATCAGGGGCTGGAAAGATGCCTTAGTGGTTAGGAGTGCATGCTGCTTGCCGAGGACCCCCGTTTGGTTCCCAGCGTCCATGTCATGTGGCTTCAGGGGATCGGGTGCTCCTTTCTGTCCTCTTCAGACATGTGCATGAAATGTCCCCCACACAAGACACACAATACACACATAATTATAAGTAAAATCTGTTTTCAGTTGTGCTTTTTCTTTTAAACAACACCACCTTAGTTACTTTCCATGGTTTTCTTGAAAAGTCAAGCGCTCCTGAAACCCCTTTCTCTTTCATAGGTCCCAGCATGCCTTTCTCCATTTTTGATGAGTTTCTTTCGGACGACAAGGACAAAAGGTTTGGTTTTTGGGGTTTTTAGGAATAGATCTTCCTATATATGTACATTTTTTTTACTTAAAATTTTAGATTTTTTAAAAATTAAAATAAAAATATTTTTATTTGTATGGGTGTTTTGCCTTCATGTATATCTCTACACAAGCTGTGTGCCCAAGGTGCCCTGTAAGGTTATTGGATCAAGCAGTTGTGAGCTGCCATGTGGGTGCTAGCAACCAAGCCCAGGTCCTCTGCAAGAGCAGTCAGTACTCTTAACCACTGAGTCATTTTTTCTCCGGACCTTTATCTTAAATTCTTTGAAAAATGTTGTAAATTGTTTTTATAGGATAAAAACTTTCATAAATTGGATATCTCACTCTTTTTTTTTCTTCCCCCAGTGGTTTTTCAAGACAGGGTTTCTCCGTGTAGTTTTGGTGCCTGTCCTGGCTCTCGCTCTGTAGACCAGGCTGGCCTTGAACTCACAGAGGTCTGCCTGACTCTGTGTTCTTAGTGCTGGGATTAAAGGCGTGCGCCACCGCCGCCCTCTTAGATATCTCTTTCTGCCACTGGCTGGGTCTCTGGGGTGGAACTGAACTTAGTGGGCTTGGACTACAGAGCATCATTACCTAACTGAGCCATGTTGTCCCCAGTATTTCAGTCTGTGTGAGGGTAGCTGGACACTGTGGTGTACACAGGGACTGGGAAGAATGAGTTGGGATAGGAAGATCGTGAGTTCAAGGCCAAACTGGGCTACAGAGCTATTACAACTTCATCTCAACAAACAACCAAAAAGGCATGAATCAGGGCTGCTGTTATTTCTGCATGCAGTAATAGTGTGTGCTAACTGGAATATGTCTTTTCCCAGTCTGGCTACAGATCCTCCACAGGTTCCCAAAACCCAGCGAAGACCCCTTGCTGTTCTCAAAACCACGGAAATCATTGCCTCAAATGAGGAGATATCTCCCGATGTTTGTGTAAGTTAACAGAAATGGGCTTAGCGCATTATTTCACTCACATCTCTCAGAAGTTTAGCATTTGGCTGGTTAGATGGCTCAGCAGATAAGGGCACTTCCTGCCAAGGCTGACGGCCTGAGATTGATCCCTGGGTCCCACACGGTGAAAGGAAAAAACTGACTTCCACAGGTTGTCTCTCTCACACCGTCCCCACACACAGGCACAAATACAAATAAATGTATTTAAGTTTAAAACAAAAGTTTAGGGTTAAGTGCTGGGCAAGCTTGCTGTAATCTCAGTGGGCAGTGGAAGTAGAGGAAACTCTAGAGTTCAGAGTCAGCCTAGGCTGTGTAGTGAGTATGAGTCCAGCTTGAGTACGTAGCTAGATCTTGTTCAGAAGAAGGTTAGGGTTATAATTAAAATCACTAATGTGAACTCATCACATGAACAGATTTTCAGAATCATGTCACCAGAAAAATGACAGAACCACAGTGAGGTCCTCCCTTGTTACCCCTGGGGTGTCTGTAACCAAGAGAGGAGTCATAACACATGTTTGAGGGCAAGGATGTAGGAAAAATAGAACCTTCATGCACTGCTGGGACAGCCATTAGAATGTTCAGCCTAGGGTCTGTTAAGATCACCTGCTCCTGCAGAGGCCTCCGTTGGGTTCCCACAACTGCCTGTAACGCCAGTGATCCAAAGCCCTCCTGTGGCTCCCGTGGGTACCACACATACATGATATGCTAACATACAAACAGGCAAAACATCCATACACATAAAATAAAAACTTTTTTTTAGTTAAAAATAGTTACTAACCAGGTGGTGGTGGCACATGCCTTTAAATCCAGCACTTGGGTGGCAGAGGCAGGTGGAGGATCTCTGTGAGTTTGAGACCAGCCTGGTCTACAGAGAGTTTTAGGACAGCCATGGCTACACAGAGAAACCCTGTCCTGGAAAACCAAAAATAATAAAAAGTAAATAAATAAATAAACAAATAAACAAAAATAAGTAAAGGAACTTACAGTAAATATTTTCCATTTACATGAAGTGTCCAGAATAAAGCAGAGTAGTTGGGAATAAGAGAGGGTAGTGGAAAGGGACTGTTAGTATTGTGGTTTCTTTCTGAGGGATGCAAATGTTCTCAATAGCATACTGGTATAACCACACTAGAACACTGAGATGCACACTGTAAAGTGATGAGTTGTATCCCAAAGTTGTAAACGGTGGGGGAGGGTCACAATTCGACAGCCTTCTCACACTTCCAATTATTTTTATCCAGCACAGGTGTGAAATGCCTTTTGCGGCATGAAAACATTATGCAGACCAACGTTTTTCCTTCTTGTTGTAGTTTGTTTACTTATGTTAGCTGTTTTGTGTTTGTGTGTGTGTTTGTGTGTGGGAGTGCTGCACGTGTCTGTAGCAGTCAGATGTTCTCTGTACGCCGCGTGAGTGTCACCAGGCTTGGCTGTAGGCGCCTTTACCCGCTGAGCCGTCTCCTGGCCCCTCCTGTTCTGTGTTAACTGCTGTCATACAGTGTCAGCACCTGACACTACCCAGCGGTGAAAGGGCACTATAGAAGCATTCAATTCAACCAAAAAAAAAAATCCCCCAAAAACCATGTGCCTTGGCATTGGCATTTTGTTGAAACTTTAGGGAAGGAAAAGCATGCTTCTCGGCAAACTAGCACCTGGGCACTTGGGAGCTTGAGGAGGACTGATGTGTCTAATTCAAAGATTTTTTTCTGGGGATGTGATGAGTGGTTCCAGTGACAGAACTTACTCCACAACCAAGAAAATGAGCAAAGTCATTTGGAGACATTTTTTAAAATACTCTTTTCTTCTTATTTACTTCCTTGAGATATATATTATATCTAGTTAAGTACACAGATTACATACCTAGATAGATTTTTACATGTGCATATTAATGCTATATCCAATTTTATATCTAAAATATTAATATTTAATATAAAATTAATTTTATATCCAAAATATAGAAATTTCCAATGACCCAGAAGTGCCATGGGTGACTTTTATGACTGAAGTAAGATACTCAGGTCCCATTCCAAGTTTATGCGATTTAAATTTCTGGAGAAGGACTCTTAAGCATTATTTTTCCCTTTGTTTTAAATGATTTGGGAAAGTCCCTCTGTACTTCTGATAGTTAGTTCCCGGGTCGCTATGAAAGCACGCTGACTGAAGGGTCACTAAGATAGACTTTGTTCTGAAGCACACCGCCCAATACCTGGTGGACTGGGGAGGGGAGGCTCGGCCTTGATCAGGTCAGCTACTCGGTGATAGCCTGGATATTAAAGGGGCTGTCCTTCTCCTTCATGTCTCTCCCTCCCTCCCTCCCTTCCTTGCTTCCTCCCTCCCTCCTTCCCTCTCTCTCTCTTCCCCTTTCCCTTTGTAACTTCTTGCTTGGCTTTTGTTAAGAAGTACCCACTTAAATTTTAGTGCCCCTCCAGTCATATTTAAAATGTCTAAACGAATAGATAGATCCATAAATAGTAGTTTATTTTACTTTAAATTTTGTTTGGTTTGGTTTTTGTTTTTCCAGACAGGGTTTCTCTGCGAAGCCCTGGATGTCCTGGAACTGATTCTGTAGACCAGGCTGGCTACCCAGTTTAAATGTTTTATTATAAATCTAGTATCTACAAGGGTTGAATCAAGCGGGCATTTCCTATATTGTAGGTAAATATATAAGGTGGTTTACTCTTTAAGGGCAGTTAGTCAATACATAAAAAGAAAGAAAGAAAAAAGAAAAGCTGGGCGGTACACACCTTTAATCCTAGCACTCGAAAGGCAGAGCCAGGAGGATCTCTGTGAGTTCGAGGCCAGCCTGGTCTATAGAGTGAGTTCCAGGACAGGCACCAAAACTACACAGAGAAACCCTGTCTCGAACCCCCTCCCACCAAAAAAAAAACTCCTTAGTTTTTAACCTCTCAACTACTTAATAATTTTAGAAATATTTATCAGAATATTTTAGTGTTCATAAAAGTTTATGTCTATTTTAAAATAGTTTTGAGTAGTGAGAAATAGGGAATAATCTGGAAGGCTTGTTTGAGCTTTCTTACATTTTCCTCCTAGTTTTTGGGTTTAGGACCCATGAATATTTAAGTGACTCTGTTCACTGAGTTAAGTCCTAGCCTCTTGGCTAATTTCTAATAAATAGACATTGTGGGGCCAGCAAGACAGCTTGGTGGCCTTTGCTGCCAGTTCTGAAACCTCCCCCCCAGGACCCATATGGTGGGAGGAGAAAAAATTGATACAAATCGCCCTCTGACTCCCACGTGCGTGCCGTGGCTCACACACTCGTACACAGCTCAGATTAATGAACTAAAAACTACAACCTGTATTCTGACCATCCTGGTTTCTAAAGAATTTTTTTTCTTTTAATTTGATTTTTCAAAACAAGGTCTCATTATGTAGCTCTGGCTCTTCTGGAACTCACTTTGTAGACCAGGCTAGCCTTGAACTCAGAGAGCTGCCTGCCTCTGCCTCCTGAGTGCTGGGGTTAAAAGTGTGTGCCATGACATCCGACATTTAAAGAAGTTTTTAAAAGAGTATTTTTATCTTTGTGTATATGTATGGTTATTATGGTTATGTAAGTGAATGCCGTGTGCAGGCGTGTGTGTGTGTGTGTGTGTGTGTGTGTGTGTGTGTGTGTGTGTGTGTGTGTGTGTGTGTATATGCGTGTGGGGTGGGGTACCTGTGGAAGCCAGAGAGGGTACCAAACCCCTTGGAGCTGCATGGCCTGCATAGGTGCTAGTTGAACCCGGGTCCTCTGGAAAGGCATCCAGTACTCTCTGAGCCATCCCTCTAGCCCCCAGAATACTTTCTAAGTGAGAAGAGTAGTATCAGTGCATCAGTTTGCAGGTAAGGTTGTCTGGGAGAGGCCGTTAAGCCGTTTTTCCATGTGTGCAGAGCCCTCACAGTATAGTTTTTAATGAAGTACAAAATCATTCTCCTTAATGCTGTACTATGCTTTTTAAATTGTCTTTAACTAGACATCCTGGTATGTTATTTCTAAATCTCATGTCAATGATCTGATGTCTAAGTATATATATATGCCATTCACGTGTTTGCTGAACAGTTTTTCCGTTTTTTAAATTTTAGGATGAACTCACAGGGATTGAACCTTTGAGTGAAGATGCCATCATCACAGGTTTCAGTAACGCGACCATTTGTCCCAACCCCGAGGACACTTGTGACTTTGCTAGAGCAGCTCGTTTTGTGTCTACTCCTTTCCCTGAGATACTGTCCTTGAAGGGGGTTCCTTCCGGTCCTGAGAGACTGTTGCAGGAAGAGGATCTTGATGGGAAGACCACCGAGGGCTGTCTCACTGCACAGACCACTCTCTATAACCAGACCCTCAGCGTGAAGAAGCTGAGGTGATTGGAGGGTTTACTCTCTTGGTCTGTGTGCCTACCTGTTACAGTGAGCAGGCCCCAGGCTCTTACTGTCTTCCAGATGCTTAAAAAGAAAGTCTGTCTGTCTCAGGTATAATGTCAGCAAAGTTGACTGATCAGTTTGGATTTGAGGATTAAAAGAGGTAAATTTTGATGTGATGAGACTCCAAGGTACAGAAGGAGATGGTTCAGCAGTTAAGAGCACTTGTTCTTGTAGAGGACCTGGGTTTGATGCCCAGCACCCACATGGGCACTCACAACTCTCATGACTCCAGTTTTGGAGTATCCATTATCTTCTTCTGACCTCTGTAGGTACCAGGCATACACATTGTGCACAAACATGTGAGCAGAACACTTAATCTACATACAATAAACAAATAAACATTTTTTTTCATCTATTTCTGATTTGGGAAAGTGATGTGCTTTAAAAATGAGACTAAAAAATCATAGCAACTACAAATTATTTTAAAAGAAATTTTATTACAAAATGAGTTCAATGTAAAATTTATAGATTAAAGATGGCTTAGTGGTTACAAGCACTTGCTGCTCTTGCAGAGATACCGGGTTTAGTTCCCAGCCTCACAGCCCTCTAACTCCAGTCCCAGGGGGTCTGACATCCTCTTCTGCCTCTGCAGGCTCTGCCCTCCCGTTGGTACACTTCCACACATGCAGGCAAAACACTCAGAAAAGGAAATGAATCTTGGTGAAGAAATTCCAAAATTCTAACGTGAGTTGGTGTGTACTCTCCCTGAGGACAGCTCACTTTTGTCTCTTGCAGCCCGATTATTGAAGACAGTCGTGAAGCCACACACTCATCCGGCTTCTCTGGATCCTCCGCTTCAGTTACGAGTACCTCCTCCATCAAAGGCCTTCAGCTTCCCGAGAAGCTGGAGCTGACTAATGACACCACAGGTAGATCCATCCAGCCTATGGGCAAGCTTCTGAATCTGCCTAGTGAACATTTATACCCCTCAGCAGACCGACCGACCTGTTAACTAGTGAAGTTGCCACAAATTGTGTTAGTTCCCAAATAAACCCTCAGTGACTCAACATGACTCATAAGTACGCAAGGCAAATGAATGTGGTCAGATTGGCAGTGATGATTTTGTAGTCTGCTTGGAATCTCCCCCCAACCCCCAGTCTTTGGTTTGTTTGTTTTTCTGAGACAGGGTTTCTCTGTGTCGCCCTGGAACTCACTGTAGACCAGGCTGGCTGAAAACTCCGATCCCCCTGCCTCTACCTCCCAAGTGCTGGATTAAGGGCACTACTACCGCCCAGTTTTTATGTTTGTTTGTTTTGGGGGGTTGGGACAGTTTCTCTGTGTAGCCTTGGCTCTGCTGGAACTTGCTCTGTAGTCCAGTGCTTCTCAACCTTCCTAATGCTGAGACCCTTCAATATAGATCCTCATGTTGTGACCCGCAACCATAAAATAATTTTGTTGTTACTTCATAACTTTAACTTGGCTACTGTTATGAATCATAAAGTAAATATCTGATATTCTACTCCTTCTGGTGGAGAACCACTGCTGTAGACCAAGTTGGCCCCAAACTTATAGAGATCCACCTGCCTCTGTCTCCCAAGTGCTGGGATTAAAGGCATGTGCTACCACCCATCCGTCCCTAAACAGTTTATATGTGATGCTTATTTCAACTTTTCTCCACAGAAAATGCTATTCAGTCACCCTGGTGCTCACAATATCGGCTACAACTGCTGAAGTCCCTACCAGAGTCAAGTGATTCTGCAGAGTTTTCTGTGGAAGATAGACCAATGCCGACCCTGGAGATAGGGGAGGAGATTGAGTTAGGTAAGTATTGTTGAATGCCTGTCCTTTTGCATCTGACAGCATACAAATAAGGGATCTGAACACCGTGAACCCTTGAACACTAACTATTCCTAGGTTGTAACAAATAGCATTTTAGTGGTTAACACATTGATCATTTTCATGCCATAATAACAATAGCACTTTTATTTGCCTCCTTTTGTTTTTTTGATATCTTTTAAGATCTATTTATTCACTTTATGAATGTTTTGCCTGCATGTATGTGATACCTGTTGGATTCCCTAGAATTGGGGTTCTACATATGATTGTGAGCTACCGTGTGGGTGCTGGGGAGCAAACCCAGGACCTATGTAAGAATTAGTGCTCTTAACTACTGAGCTATCTGTTCAGCTCCTTTTCAATTTTTAAACAAATGATTTTGAAAAATGTTCCTTACTGGCAAATACACTAGTACCTCTCACCCATAGCCAGGAGGTAAAGTGTAAGGACCTACATATGTTCACAGTGACTTTTTTTTTTTACATTGTTTTGAAATTTTATAATTTAAAAGTCCAGGGTTATTTTAAACAGTAAAATATTTTCTCTGTAGAAAATAGTATAAATGATAACATTTCCCAATAAGCCCTTTTAAGCCAAATAATAGTTGAATTATACATATAAATATTGATTAGATTCTAGAATACAGAGGAAATCTATCTTCATCTGTTCAGAGAGCTATGTTTTACTTAAGTTGTATAAGTGAGATTCCTATTCATCTTCCCCTTCACTGTTTGATTTCCGGCAGACATTTTTCTATAGGCTAATCCATAGTCTAGAAAGATTTTAGCCTCCCTCCTGAAAGTACGGCCAGCATTTTCTTTCATTAGCTTGATACAGTACAAATTCTTATCCTAATAGTGAAATGTTTCACTAAAGCTTGCCCAGTGATTGAGCAAAACCAAAACTTACTATATGCCACAGTCATCCTAGGGTCCTCCCTGTTAGGTAGCCTCCCTGGATCTGTGGGTTGCAGTCTGGTTATCCTTTGCTTTATATCTAGTATCCACTTATGAATGAGTACATACCATGTTTGTCCTTCTGAGTCTGGGTTACCTCACTTAGGATCACAGTGACTTTTTAAAATGGAATCAAACCTTCTCAACAGGTGACGAAGACTACTGCATTAAACAGGAATACCTAGTATGTGAAGAGTACAAGTTATTCTGGGCGAAATCTAGAAACTCGGCAGAGTTAACCATGATAAAGGTGAGACTGCTTCTTTGTCATGTCATTACCTTGTAAATAAGCAAAGAAGACAGTTGTGTCCTCATGGTACTGTCACACCTGTCTCCTGGCTCCTTACTGGGAAATCTGTGAGCCATCAAAAAATCAGTCACCATTCTATGTCAGGATCAGAGATGAGAAGTGAGGGACGATGGTGTAAAGGTTCTGTTGTGCCCAGGCATTCTAAGTATTCTGTCCTGGAGTGTGTGGACTGCTCCTCCTGGACAGCTGTATTCTAGTCTTGACACACATAGGTTGGTAGTTTGATTGGATATAGAATTCTTCGTTACATTTTTCCCTTAGTATTTAAAACCTTCTTTGGTAAACTTGCTTGGTTTTGCTTGTTTATTTTCTGTTGTTTGTTTGATTGGCTTTTGGTGTTTTGTTTTTTTCTGCAGCTTTAGAAACTGAATACAGACAGTGTATAGGCAAACACCACCCCTGAGCCACATACCTCTAACCTTACTTGTGAAGTCTTTTGCCATCCTAATCTTTTTTTTTTTTTTTTCATTTTTTTTAAGGATCAGCAAAGCAATTTTGTTTGCAAAAAGGTATACTAGAACCCAAACCAAGCACACCTGGGCATAGACATTCACTTGTTTTTATTCTAACTCATGTGGTGATTTTGTCTTTTCCCTCTTGGCTGGGTTCCAACCTCACAGTCTTTAGCTTTTGGCTAGTTTTAAAAGAATCAGCACGAAGGGAATGAAGGCAGGGGTCAGCCATTCCAAGCTTTCAAGTTGCAGAAGTGCAGTAGACCTTTTGTGTGAACAAAAGTTTTACTCAGTGGGAGTCGTTTTGGGGTTTTGAAATAAGGTCTGGATATGTAGCCCTCAAACCAACAATCCCCATCTCTGCCTCCTGGATACTTGGATTGCAGGCATGTGCCACCACGCCCAGCTGTCTTTCTTTTCTTTTTCTTTTTTTTTTTTTAACTTTTTATTGATTCTTTGTGGTTCACATCATGTATCTCAATCCCTTTCATCCCCCCCATCCCTTGATATCCACCCTCTGCCCTTGCAACCTCCCCCCAAAATAAAAATTTAAAAGAAAAACCAAAGTCTTGGCATGGAAGCTGTAATGTCACACAGTAAGTCACAAAGTATACATACTCTTCAGTCCCTAGTCTTCACTTGTCAGTGTTCATCTCAAGGAGTCGTTGGTCTGGTCGAGACTGCCGGCTTCTGCCACACCCTCGATGCTGGGCCCTCACTGGGGCTCCTCTTGGGTATCCTGTTGTTGTCTGTGTCCTGGAGATCCTGTAGCTTTGGGTCTTTTTAATTTCCAGTAACTGTGAAATCTCTCCATATCTCACCTGTCACGGGCACGTAGCAGTCAAGCACTTTGATATAAGTATTATCGCCTGTGTACTGGGCGGAGCGTCAGTGGACATTTCAATCTGGAGACTCTTTCAGTCTTGACATTTTCTTTAAATTTTCTGCTTTCTCAGTTTTTAATTTCTCATATTAGGGTATAGGTTTTTCCTGACCAATCATTTCTTTGTTTAGCATTTATTTATTTATGGTGTGTGTGTGTGTGTGTGTGTGTGTGTGTGTGTGTGTGTGTGTGTAGATCCAAGGACAAGTTGTGGGCTTCAGTTCTCTCTCATCATATGGTTCTGGGCTTGATGAAAAAAACACCTTTATCCACTGAGTCATCTTACCAACCCTTATTTCCTCTACGTTCCCTGCCACCACCCCCACCCACCCCCCCACTACCCCACCCCCACCATCACCCCCACCACTATCACCCCCCCTACCCCACCCCCACGCCATCTCTCATTTATGGGGCTGGAGAGATGGTTCAGAACCCTTACTGCTGTTAGAGAGAACCCAGCGCCCTCGCTGGGCAGCTCACAAGCACCTGCGGTCCTCTTGGGAGGGCGCCTGCGCTTGGGTGCCCACCACACACAGGCAGACAGAAGTACAAGTAAGTGTCGTCATTCCTCTGGCTTCTCTCTTGTCTTACGTTCTGCAGTGCAGGCCTCTCTCAGCAGCTGCAGGGGATTGGTTCTAAGACACCTCCCTCCCGTTGGAGAGCCCACTCTGAGGACAGTCAAGTCCTTTACGTCGACTGACACAGGACTTGCAAATAGCCTACACATGCACTCCGACGTGCTTTAAAGCATCACTGGGTTTTCCTAATACCTAACATATTATACATACTGTGCTATTTATTGTGTGTAGATTCAGAAGACTATTTTATCATAGTTTAACTATTTTATCATAGTTTCAGTCTCTTTATAGGTTTTACATTTCTTTCAAAGGGGGAATATTCTTTTTTGTTTTGTTTTGTTTTTTGTTTTTTCGAGACAGGGTTTCTCTGTGTAGCTTTGTGCCTTTCCTGGAACTCACAATGTAGCTCAGGCTGGCCTCGAACTCACAAGGATCCGCCTGCCTCTGCCTCCCGAGTGCTGGGATTGAAGGTGTGTGCCACCACTGCCCGGCAGAGGGAATATTCTTTATTTCATTGAGATATCAATGAAGTTTTAAATTGTTTTTCTTTTATAGTTTTTGTTTGTTGTTTTTGTTTTGAGACAGGGTTTCTATGTATAGCCTTGGCTGTCCTGGAACTTACTCTGTAGACCAAGCTGGCCTCAAATAAATTGTTTTTCTTGGGTCAGCAAGATGGCCCCGTGGATAAAGGTGCTTGCCACCAATCCTGGCAGCCTGAGTTCTATCTCTGAAACTGGCATGGAGGAACATTGCCAACTCCTACAGGTTGTCCTGTCCCTTTTACAACCATGCCACGAGACACACACACACACACACACACACACACACACACACACACACACACACACACACACTGTTTTGTCAAAGGAGGGAGGAAAAACAGTTTTTTTCTTTCCTCTGCAATCTGTTTTCATTTTATCTGTTTAAAGTTGTTTTTCATATTAGCAACTTGGAGTGTTCTGCTCTCTTCAGGGGTAGGTGTGTGACACTAAAAGCTAGTGTGTATGTAGAATCTTTGAGAGCGTGGGCAGCACTGTAGATGATTTAGTTTGGGCATTTGATTGGAAACTCACCAACTGTTACATCTCTTCTCTTGAGCTGATTAGCTCTCTGGAAGAAGGCTTCTCATTTCCTGCCCAGAGAACCTGAGCCTGACTGCTGGAGTGAGAAGTAGTGTAGAAGAGAAGGGACATGGACCTCTGATGTCTAAGCTTCCTCCTAGCTTCCACCCCAGCCACGGTGCCTGGCTCCTTCTAGTCCAGGCCTTTTACTTTGTACCCCTGGAAATGATCTTCTGGAGGGGGGACGTGGTTGCTGAGCCTGGCTGTAGGACCAGGGAGGAGACTCTGGAGACTAAGTTCCTCTTAAGTGTGGTCCAGGCACTCCTGTGGCTGCATCCAGCCCCCTGGCTGCTGCTGCAGGTTTCCTACAGTGGGGTCTGTGTACCGAGGCTGCTCTGCAGTGTCGGAGGCTGCCTTCCTGTCAGTCTGCTAAGTGCTTTAACTCCGTTCTCTGTCCAGCTTTCAGAGCTGTACTGCTCCTGTGTCCTTTCCTATAAGTTATGCTTTGTTTTTTGTTGGTTTGTTTTTGGTGTTTTAGACAAGGTCTTCCTACGTGGTCCTGGCTGTCCTGGAACTCCCAGTGTAGAGTGCTGGGATTAAAGGGTGCACCACTATGCCTGGCCAGATTATGTTTTTTTTTTTTTTTAAAGATTTATTAATCTATTTTATGAATATGAGTGCTCTATCTGCATGTACGCCTTTATGCTGAAAGAGGCATCAGATCCCCTATAGTTGGTTGTGAGCCACCATGTGGTTGCTAGGAATTGAACTCAGGTCCTCTGGAAGAGCAGCCAGTGCTCTTAACTGCTTAGCCATCTCTCCAGCTCCAAAATTATGCTGTTTAAAATTGAGTTTTACTTTATATTTGTTGGGGTATCAGAAGGTCTGTGTAGTGATTTGAATAAGGATGGCCCCCATAGGTTTATATATTTAAATGTTTAGTCACCAGGGAATGTAATTCTGATTGGGTTAGGATTGGTGGGTGTGGCCTTGTTGGAGGAAATATATCACTGGGGTGGGCCTTTAGCTTTCAAAAACCCATGCCAGACCCAGAGTCAGTCTCTCCTCGCTCCTCCCCACCCAAGCATCAGGATGTAGAACTCTCAGCTACTTCTCCAGCAGCATGTCTGCCTGCCTTGATTTTAATAGACTAAACCTCTGGAACTGTATGCCGCCCCCAATTAAATGTTTTCTTTATCAAAGTTGGCTCGGTCATGGCGCCTCTTCACAGCAATAGAACAGGCGCTAAGACAGGCTGGGAGAAAGGTAGAGGTTTTGTTGCTTTTGTTTGTTCGTTTGTTTTAGACAGGGTCTCACTCTGAAGCCCGAGCTGATCTGGAACTCAGTATGTAGACCAGGTGTGGGGCATTTACCCACCAACCCCACAGCTCTCCAGAGTTTTCTTGAGTGTGAGCAGCAGAAAATATTAGATAGAAGGATTTAAATTGTGGAGATAAACAGAAAATAAAGGATAGCCTCGAGAGGACCTGGAACTTATTCCAACAGGCCCCGGCTGTCTCTGCCCCAGGGTATTTATAGAGACGCCAAGGGGTGGAGCGAAAGACCCCCTCCCCCAGCACAGCCAAGTGCAGACCATCCCAGACACCTGCACTCAGGCCCGTGGTCCTAATCATCCTCTATGTGGACCTGCTGGGTAAAGCCACGAGGAACCCGAGAACGGGCTCCCACAACCAGACTAGACTAAATTTATGTTAGTTAGTCCTCTGCCTCTTCCTCCTAAGTTCTGCAGTTTTTATTGTTAGTATTGTGTTTTGGGTTGGTTGGTTGGTTGGTTTTAGTTAGCATACAAAATAGTGGGTTTCGTTATAATATACGGGTGGGTGTGTGTGTTTGTGTGTGTACATTGTACTTTGCTCATCCTTGCTCCCCTTCTGTCCCCCTCTCCCCATTGCTGTTCCCTCACAGTTCCCTCCTGCTTTCATGCATATATAGTTAAATAGAAAACACAGGGTGTTTGTCTTTCTGTGTCTGGCTTATTTACTTAACATAGTCTCCATTTCTATCTACTTTCTTACAAATAATATGATTTTGTTCTTTATGACTAAGACGTGTTTTCCAACAGGGCACTTTTTATCGCAGGAGGCAGAGGCAGGTGGATCTCTATGAGTTCAAGGCTTACCTGGTCTATATGAGAGTTCTAGGCCGTAGTGAGACCCTGTCTCCAATTGTGTGTTCAGGCTGTCCGCCATCACCACATATTCTGATTGCCTTCACATGTTAAGTGTTCTGTCTTACAGGCCTCTGTTCAACCTATCCCCTGGGATTTTTACATCAGCCTCAAGTTAAAGGACCGTCTAAACGAGGACTCTGACCAGCTGTGCAGCTACTATCAGTACCAAGACGGGCATATCGTCTCCTACCAGTATGTCAAGTGTTGCACCCTTCAGGTTTGTGAGAATACCCAAAACATAGCACTTAGAATGAAATGGATGAAAGACATTTCATACAGGGCTGGTGAGGTGCCTCGCAGTCGGGGCACTTGCTGCCAAGTCCAGTGACCTGAGTGTGATCCCCAGGACCCAAATTGTGATGATGAGAATTAAATCCTGTAAATTATTCTCTGGTTTCCACTCTCATATCATGGCATGTGCATAGACACACACAAATAAGTAAATGTAGTTCAATTGTTAAGATACTTAATACAAAATTCCTTTCAATCATCTAGAAATAGACCAGTTTTTCATTTTTATTTTTTTAACTTTTATTGTGTGTGTGCCATGATATCCATGTGGAAGTTTGAGGATAATTGCAAGTCAGTTCTCTCCATGGGCTCCAGAGATCAGACATAAGTCAGCAGACTTGGTGGTAAATGCTTAGACCTGACTGACCTTTAAAAGTATTGGTGACTCTTTTCTCAGGTGGGACTTTGTTGGCTGGTTGGGGGTTTTTTGTCGTTGTTTTTGGTTTGATTTGGTTTGGTTTGGTTTTTGGTTTTTCAAGACAAGGTTTCTCTGAACTCACTTTGTAGTCCAGGCTGGCCTCGAACTCACAGAGATCCACCTGCCTCTGCCTCCTGAGTGCTGGGATTAAAGGTGTGTGCCACCACATCTAGCTTTTTTTGTTGTTGTTTTTCTTTTGAGGGGTTCTGGTTGGTGTTCGGTGCTGGGCATTGACCAGGGTCCATACATCCTAGTCAATCACTCTACCACTGAGCTACCTCCCCAGCCTCCTTTTCCAGTGGAGTACCTATTTGGTATTTTTTAACATTTATCCTGGGGGGCGGGGGGATGAATGAGTCACCTAACTAGAATAATTATCAACTCATTTTAAGCAAAATAAAATTTTTGTCTTGACTGTTCTGCCTCCCCTGCATCCTTTTTTAAAATACAGACACAATATGTCATTTTACTCTTTCCTGTGTTCTTGAGGTTTTCAATGCTTTGTGTTAGTGTGTTCACGTGTAGGTGAGCATGCACGTGCTTGTGGTGGTCAGAGAATGTGTGCAGGAGTCGGTCCTCTGTCCACCCACGGTGTAGATTCCAGGGATCAAAGGGTCTTCTGGCTTGGCGGCAAGCACCTTTCCCTTTTCTTCATGCTCTTCGTCCAGTCTCCTTAAACCCTTCCAGTCTTCAGGAGACCCCAGTTAAAGTGGGACCAGGGTCCGGCCTGCACTCTAGTGGGGAGCGGAAGGAAACGCGGCGGTCGGCAGGGGACAGTGCTGCAGATGCACCAGCTGGAGAAACGGTTCTGTCTTCTGTTTCCAGGATCTTCTCCAACACAGTGAATCTGTGTCTCATGAAGTAATAGTCTTGATTATTTATAACCTCTTGACAATAGTGGAGAAGCTCCACAAAGCTGAAATAGTTCATGGAGACCTGAGTCCAAGGAGTCTGATCCTAAGAAACAGGTGGGTCCTTTTTATTTCCCTACATTGGCTACATTTTTTTGAAAACATGGATAATTGTCATAGTAATGCCTAAAAAAGGTGTGTACGTGTTTTCTCTGTTGGTTTGTCTGTGTACCACTTGCATGCCTGGTGCCCACTGGAGTTACAGATGTTTGTAAGCCGCCATGTGGGTTCTGGGAATGGACCCTATGTCTGTGAACATGTAGGTGGTAGGATGCTTGCCTTGCATGCATAAGGCCCTGGGCTTCAACTTTATCTCTTATTTAACAAATTTGACAGGAAATATTTTATAGAGTCGTAAGATATTAAAAGCAAGAAAGAGCCTTTTTATTATTTTTTATTTTATACATACATATATATATATATATATATATATACATATATGTGTATATATATTTTTGTTTGTTTTTTGTTTTTCCAGACAAGGTTTCTCTGTGTAGTCCTGGCTGTCCTGGATCTCACTCTGTAGACCAGGCTGGCCTCGAACTCACAGGGATCTGCCTCCCTCTGCCTACCAAGTGCTGGGATTAAAGGCCTATGCCACCACCCCCACTATGTATTTTATTTTATTTTTTTATATGTGAGTATTTGATTGTGTGGGTGTGCGCCACATGCATTCTTGATGCTGCTGGGGGTCAGGAGAGGGCATAGGATCCCTGGAGCTGGAGTTATGAATGGTTGTGTACCACCATGTAGATTCTAGAAATTGAGCCATGGTTCTCTGCAAGAGCAACAAGTGCTTTTAACCAATAAGCCATATCCAGTCCCCGAGAAAGAGACTTTGGAAATCAGTCAGTTTATTGCTTACATAACTTGTGAGAAAGATGAGGTCCAAGGGTGATAGTATTATGAGCAGTAAAGAGATTGCTAAGCTGGGTTTGATTCCCAGGGATGTGGGGAGGAGGAGAGGTTTTGCCCTTGGCTGAGTAGAGAAAGAGCTAGAGAACGGTCATGCTCTTCATTAATCTGGAAACAACCTCTCAAGCTTAGGACAAATGTTTTAAGTCATCATCATAGTTTCAGAAAACAAAATTAAGTTGGATCTGTGCCAAGGGAAAATGGGAGCTGCTGTAAATTCGAAACTCCTGTCAATGCAGAGGCATGTGCTTCAGGTCGGAGAAAGGCTGGATTTAAGACTTGCGTTTGTACCAGGGAGGAACTGCAGGAACCAACTGGGAGAGAAAAGACACAAAGGAACAAGTGAAAAGAATCATTGTTGTCTTCTCTCAGGCAGATTGTTCCTGGATACTCATAGCAAATCACTAGTCTATGAAATATACTTACTTGATAGGAAGTTTGTGTTTTGAAGTACTTTCTTAGGAAGTAGGAGATGGGGTTACCAAAAAAAGTAAGGGGAAATATGGTGTTGGTGTAATTGAAACAGGAAGTTTTACAATACAGACAGCAGCTCACTAGAAAAGAACCTTCTAAATTGTTTTTCATTACACTTTAGAGGAAGAGTCTTTGCTACTTGGAAAGCCCACCTATTCCAGTAACAAGGGCAATATCACCTGCATGGAACAGAGCCAGCTTCTAATTCCATTACGTACTGCATAGCATAAAAACTTGAGAATGTCCTGTGGTGGCCATGCACTGTGGTTTACATTCGATAGATTCTGTGTAGTCAAGCCAAACCAAACTTAACCCATTGGGCTGGCATTGCCAACGTGTGCATTTTCATATCTAACCACTGGAGGGTACTGTTGGCAAGGCTAAGACACACCTGCAGTCCTAAAAGAAAAAAAAAAAAAAAGGCAGGCCAGCTCTGCAGCTGCTTTCACAGCCTGTTTTATATCTCCTCTTGAATCTGGCCTCAGAATCCACGACCCCTATGATTGCAATCAGAAGGATCATGCTGTGAAGATCGTGGACTTCTCCTGCAGTGTTGACCTGAGGGTACAGCTAGATGCTTTTTCCTTCAGTGGCTTTCGGACTATACAGACCCTGGAAGGACAAAAGATCCTGGAGAACTGTTCTTCTCCCTACCAGGTAAGTGGAAGAGAAGCCTGAGCAAACACGAAGAGTATTTCATACCCTCTTCCTTGTCTAGATAAGCTGTGAAAGCTAGTATTGACTGCCATTGACTTGCCTAGGAAAGGTGGCCTCATTTCCAAATACTGTGTCACCTTGCAACTCAGAGAGAATAGTCTTTCTGTCCCAGCACTCAAGAATATAAACATACACGTGCAAATACATAACTTAGTAACTTAAGTGCTCGGTCATTTCTGTTGCTCACCATCCATGCCATCTCTTTTTTTTTTTTTTTTTTTTGGTTTTTCGAGACAGGGTTTCTCTGTGTAGCTTTGCACCTTTCCTGGAACTCACTTGGTAGCCCAGGCTGGCCTCGAACTCACAGAGATCCGCCTGCCTCTGCCTCCCGAGTGCTGGGATTAAAGGTGTGCACCACCACCGCCCGGCCCCATGCCATCTCTTATGAGTAATTCTCTTTGCTTTTCACTCTACACTAAAGATAATAAACCTCTGTTCTTTATACATCAGACTGGTGAAGATTCAGTGCAGTGATTTGCATGAAAAGAACACTAGAACAAATGTGAAGTGTCTTATATGATTGTATTAGATGCAAACACGGCTTCTGACTTAGCTCTGGACATAAGGTATTTGCTGATGGGATATGTAGCATGTACCTGAAGTGGTCATGTGGGCCACATTGGATCCCAGCTGGAGTCCACGTAGAATGGAGTAGGTGTGCTGATGTGATTTGGTAATCCAGGTCATCTGTTGTCTTTGGCTCTTAAAAATAATCCCTTAGCAGGTGGTAGTGACACATGCCTTTAATCCCAGTACTTGGCAGGCAGAGGCAGGAGGATGTCTGTGAGTTCAAGGCCATCCTGGTCTGCAGAGTGAGTTTCAGGACAGCCAAGGCTGCACAGAGAAACTCTGTCTTGCAAAAACTAATAATAATAATAATAATAATAATAATAATAATAATAATAATAATAATAAATTCCTTAGGTTATATCTGATCATGTCTTTGAGAGGCTTCCCCCCATCCTGTAAAGATAAGAACATCTACTAAAATGTGTCATAAAATACACAGTTAAGCTCTGTTGTGCTTTTCAACTCTTATATAAATAAGTTCATAATAGAAGCAGAGACAACTTTAGCTCATGATACGTTTTGTGATTTCAGGTAGATCTGTTGGGTATAGCAGACCTAGCACACTTATTGTTGTTCAAGGAACACCTGCATGTCTTCTGGGATGGGCTCCTCTGGAGACTCAGCCAAACTACTTCTGAGTAAGTACTGGATCCTGCAGGGCTCCGCCCATTCCCATAGTTCCCCCTCTCCAGCAGTTTCTGCTGTGGAGGTAACCTTAGTTCCCTAAACCAAGTGATTTTTCTCTGCGTTTGCTAGACTGTCTGCTGAGCACCGAGTACAGGGGGAAGGAATTGCCAACTGAAACCAAGACATAGACTCCTTCGACTTTAGGGCATTCTGAACCTTGCTATATCATATAGGAGTATGGAAGTTTCTTGGTTTAGAAATATTAGAAACATTTAGAAGAATAATTTTCTAACTGATTGGTATTAGTCTTTTTAACAGCTGTGTTTATCAAAAGTTAATTATCTTTTGAAGAGAGTTAAATTTCCAAATTATCTACTGATTTCAGACTATTATTTACTTAAGGAGTAGGTAGAACCAAGGCATAGAGCAGAGTCTCCTGGTGCAGAAATGAAGGATCTGTCAGAAGCCAGGACTCCTCGGGCCTGCTTGTGCACCTGGTGGGCAGCACACGCTGCTTCAGGTTCTCTCCGCCAGTGGCTCCCCAGCAGGAGCTCACCAAGGAATGACTTGTGCCCGACCTTAAGTTGGTCTTCACTTTAAATCAGTGTTGAAGATTTTATGCCCCTTTCCCACTTTGCTCTCCAGAACATTAAGTTGTATTTTCTTCTTCATTTGATTTAGAACTTGGCCAATCACATTTGTCTCTTGGGTTTGAGCCTGAGATGGTGGCTCATGCCTTTAATCCCAGCACTTAAGAGGAAGAGGTTCAAGGCCAGCCAGGACTACGCAATGAGACCTTGTCTCAAACAACAGTAAAAATAAATAAGTTAGTGAAATAGCTTGACACATACGTTGAGCTGTGGAGGATTAATAGGCATCTCCAGTTAGCTATGGACCAGCTAGGTGTAGCTAACATAAGCAGAAGTGAATGGGGTGAGTTGGCCTTTCCTCACACCCCTACCCTCTACAGCAATGGATGTTTTCAGATGAAAGACAAGGAGAGTAAGTAAGACGTTGCTTTAATCAAGTTGAGGATTCTCAGAACTGTGGGGATGACAGACCCTGAGGTGGGAGTGAGGAAAGTTACTGCGTCTCGGCACGCAGAAGAGGTCTGCAGGCTTGGGTGAGACTGGCCTTCCGGTCATGTGCGTTCCCCATCGCCATGGGAGACTAATGTCTGTAGTTCTTCCCTGTGCTTTCAAAAGGGTGTTTGAATGATCTCCAGCCTTAGATTTCTAGGTATTACCTACATCACTTTGGCACAGGAATGTACTGCCGAGTTCAACTGAAAAAGAATTCTAATCTTCATATGCCTGATCTTGATAGAAATGATTTTTATATTTTATTAGGCTAAAGAACGGTGAATTATGGAATAAATTCTTTGTGCGGATTCTGAATGCCACCAATGAGTCCACAGTATCGGTTCTGAGGGAACTTGCAGCGGAAGTGAACGGGGTTTTTGACACCACATTCCACAGTCACCTGGACAAAGCCTTGTGGAAGGTGGGGAAAGTATTTATTTAGTCCTGGAGCTTTGCTCCTTCAGCAAGTCAGGCAATCACGTCTCTCAGATCTCTGCCTAAGCTGCATGTACTGTGGGAAGCTGGCCTGTAGATGCTGTCATTTAATTTGGGGACACTTAGCCACACTACCAGTCCTTTTCTGCCAGAGTTTACTCAAAGTGGCACAGTTCTTAGCAGAACACTGTGCCTGGCTGCCTCACCTGTTTTAGTCAAAATGGATTCCATACAAATGGGTACTTTTTAACCGTTTGTTTCTACTTTCCCTCTGCTTCTCTCTTGTGATTTTATAACATGGACTCTTGCACTCACCATAGATTTTATAATAAAATAGTTTTTGTTAAATTTGTGCTTCTGGCATTTCATCTACATTTGCATACTAAGATGAATGATTTAATTTTGGAGAGGAATTGTTTTACCATGGAAACTTATGTGTCCTAGATTTAGAACAGCTACCGTTGGGTTATAACAAGCCAGCTGGCTGGCCATTTCTTCAGGTGTCTCTGGCCTTTAGCAGGTGTCCAGATGGAAAGCAGGTCAAATGATGCGCATAAGACCAACTTTTCTTAAGTTCCGAAGTTGTGTTTTGTACATGGCTTACATCTGAGTATTTGCAGTTTTCTTCTGTAGTTGCTCAAAGCCTTTACCAACCTTTTGGAATGGAATACTCACCTTTCTGTCATTTCGTGCAGAAGGAAGTGAGGACTGCCGAGGGGCTAGAAGACGGTTTGGCTTGACTTGAGGAAGCAGGAGTCAGAACATAGAGGACTCTGAAATGCGGACTGATCGGGAAGAGAGGAAGTCTGAAGAGACCCCGGCCGGCCCCAGAGAGGAGCACAAGCTGTCCTTGGCCTTGAGGGCTTGTTCTTTTAGTAAGGGTAATGAAGATCATCTAGTTGTTTGTTTCATATTAAAACATCAGAGTTATCTAATGTTCCTCCATCTAGCACCTGATTTCCCCATAGTTGTCACTGTTATTGCTCTAAGAATGTCTGTAATCAAGCCCCTCTCCTCTGCTCTCCTTAGTCCTCAGCTTCCTACATTGACCCAGGAAATTTAGAGCCTTTAACATAAACTTCCACTAGGAATTCTTCAGCAGGCTAGGCAGCCAAGCTGCTGTATGGATGAGCCTTTGTTTCCAAAAGTACAAGTAATTCGTTTCCAGCTCTGTGGGTGACTGTTTACTTCCTCCATCAGGCGTCTTCTAAATCCCCTCTGCTCTGCGCCGTCCTCGCTGACCTCCTTATGCAGAGTAGCATCCCGTAGGTTCACTGTCACTTCCTGCTCCTGGGCCCTGTGTACTTTTCATTGCACCTTTCACCAGCTTGTGCACACAGAAGTGATCCTCGTGTGTTCTTGTGTATACCAACTCCTTTTCCATATCCCTCTACTATAATTTAAACTCTTTAAGACAGGAATTGACTTTAGTTCTCAACTCCAATACCTAGAATAGTATCTAAATAAATAAAACCTTTTACCAAAGTTTGAAAAACGAAGAAAAACAGAACAGAGACAGGAAATGAACATCCTATTAAGACATATAAATGAGAACTTCAACGTCCACTAATGAAATACATTGAAACTATATCATCATTTACAAGAATGAAAATTGTGTCGGTGAGGGGCTGGAGACATGACTCAGAGGTTAAGAGTACTTGTTGCTCTTCCAGAAGTACTAGGTTTGGTCCCAGGGCCCACATGGTGGCTCACAACCATCTGTTACTCCAGTTCCAGGGGATCCGGCACCCTCTTTTGACCTCTGAGGGCACCAGGCACACGTGTGGTGTGCATATATCCATGCAGGCACAACACTCATAAAGCCTGATATGTATATTTTAAACATGTAGATTATATATTAAAGAAAAATACACTGGTGAGATCAGGAAGCAACCACTCACTAGCAGGTTCATTCTTCGAAGCCAGTTTGGCAGTCTTTTCTACAATTAAATATTCTCTAGCTGAGAAGCTTCTCTTAAGAATGTATATTACCCAGACATTGCTATGGTGTGCTCACACTGCCTGCCTTGCTTCAAGACTCATCGTCCCCAGTGGGGTGACCCAAGTGACACCCAGACATCTTAGAGATGATAGGACCTGAGGCAAGCAGTCACTTCTAGCTTGTGTTTTAAAAACAGTTAAGGTGGGGCTGGAGAGATGGCTCAGTGGTTAAGAGCACTGATTGCTCTTCCAGAGGACCCAGGTTCAATTCCCACCACCCACATGGCAGTTCACACCCATGGCAAAACACCAATCCACATAAAAACAACAATTTAAAAAACTTGTTTGGCCGGGTGGTGGCGGCAGCGCATGCCTTTAATCCAGCACTCCGGAGGCAGAGGCAGGTAGATCTCTGAGTTCAAGGCCAGCCTGGTCTACAGAGCCAGTTCTGGGACAGCCAGTATCCTGCCTCAGAAATAAATAAATGCCTGAGAAATTTAGGAAGTTTTATCTTTTTTGTTTGTTTATTCTTAAAGATTTGTTTCTTTTATGTTTATGGGCATTTTGCCCGCTAGTCATTCGCTGCCATGTGGGTGCCAGGAATCAAACCCAGGTCCTCATTTTTACTTACTTTTTTAAAGATTTATTTATTTTCTGTGTTTGAGTGTTTTGCCTGCATGTCTGTGCACTGCATGCATTCCTGGTGCCCATGGAAGTCAGAAGAAGGTCTTGGATCCCCTGGAACTGGAGTTAATGGATGGTGTGAGCCACTATGTGGGTGGGTGCTGGAAACGCAGGTTCTCTGCAAGAGCAGCAAGTGTTCTTAACCTCTGAGCCAGCCCTCGGTTCTTCATTTTAAAATCGTTAAAGAGAATGTAGCTGAACTTGTACTTGTAGTATGCTGAAAATTCATTTGAGTCTAAATGCCTTGTGATCTGTTAGATACACGCTTCTAAAACCACCGTTTCTGTCACTATTACGCTTTGTTTTGTCTGTAAACAAGGGATTGAATGACGCACAGTCCGGCTTTTTAAAAATAAAAAATTTAGGTGGGGCGAAGGCGCTTACTCCAGGCTTAACAGCCGGAGTTTGATCCCTGGAACCCACATAGTGGAAGAAGAGGACCAGCTCCTGAAGGTTGTTCTCTGACCTCCACACCTGTGCAAATGCCATGTGCATATGTGCATGAGTGTGTTCATAGAGGTGGTTCAGCACGTGCAAGGCCTGGCCACTGAGCCTGAGGACTTGAGGTAGATCCTTGGGCCCCGTGGTGGAAGGAAGAACCACCTCTTGCAAGTTGTCTTTGTGGACAACACACACACAAATAAATAAAACTATGAATTTAAAAAGACTGCTTCTGAATAAGATCTTGAGTTGTCACACGCTGATTCTGTCGGTAATGAAAGGATGGTTGATAAGCGTGAGGTGAACATCGGCAAATGGGCTGTTTCCCCACCAAACCATCGGCTTCTGCCGTTGCTCCTGGGAGGCCCTGTGTCAGCCTCTCCCTGACACTGAGGTTGTCCAGACCGCTAGATTGCAAACCCCTTGTGAGCAAGGGGCTTTGTGTCTGCTGCCCTGCATCCAGCAACATCTATAATTCTCAAAGGTGAAAATACTGGGAGGGAGTGGCTACAGATTCAGAGACCGATCATATTGGTTCTGAGGTTAGTGTCTGTCCTTAGCTCTTGATCTCACTGTAGTGTGCCATTTTATTCTGCTTTGACATGCTAACTGACTATTAAATTCACACTGTGATATATTTCACTGTCTAGGTTATACCTTCAAATTAAAGTCAGGCCAGGTGTGGTGTGCAGGCCTGTAATACAGAGACTGAGCAGGACCTCGAGGTTGAGGTCAGCCTGGGCTACTTATAGAGACTATCTCCGAAAGCGTTGTTTCAGAAGTGTACTCTTTATTTCTGTGAATACTAAATTTGGGTTCAGGCTCAGCTGAAACAGTGGGGTGCCACTGTGTGCTGTAGATACAAAGCCCCCCTTTTTTTTGTTTTGTTTTGTTTGTTTGTTTTTTCGAGACAGGGTTTCTCTGTGTAGCTTTGCGCCTTTCCTGGATCTCACTCTGTAGCCCAGGCTGGCCTCGAACTCAGAGATCCGCCTGGCTCTGCTTCCCGAGTGCTGGGATTAAAGGCGAGCTCCACTGCCCAGCAAGCCCTTTCAACTTACCTGGTCATGTGATGTTTTTTGTCTAATTGCTGCCGTTTTAAGATTTGCAGAGTGAGGTTGGACTTCATGAAAACAAATCCTGGAGTTGGGGTTCGACTCACTCGGTGGAAGCCCTCCCTGACATGCTCCACATCCTCCTTGGAGTCCCAACACTTGGGAGGTGGAGGCAGGAGGGTCAGACACTAATTTTCCTCAGCCACATAGTGAGTTTGTAGCCTGGACTGAATGTCACAAGATAAAGAGAGCCATGCTTGGTGACATACACCTTTAATCCAGCACTGGTGATAGAGGCAGGCAGAGCTCTGTAAGTTCCAGGCCAGCCAAGGCTACATAGTGAGACCCTGTCTATAAATAAATAAAACCACTTAAAATCTGTAAAGAAGAGATGAATATGTATTTGTTAGCTTTTATATTTTAAAATTGAAAACTGTTAATGCTAAAATAAGTGCTAATAAAGGTGGAAAAGATGTACATATGAACTTCCACCAGGGCCGGCTGAGAGGAATTAAAAGCTAAGGGTGAGTGACTGTGGTACAATGAATGAGAAGTTGTGTTAAGTACAGGCTCAGAAAGGTGAGCGAGGCAGAGAGAACAAGGGAACTGTCCGGTGGTTCTTCTGTATCAAGGGCATGCCATCACTACATGGACAAGAAAGCCGTCCCCTCCCGCAGTGCATGGGCCGGTGGCCAGGAGCCTGCGATTAGGCCCATAGCCATAGGCCGCCCAGAGCTCTCTGCCATCGCCCCTTCGTGTGCTGGAGCATTCATTTGCCTTGTATTTGCGTTTCTAGTTCAGGTGAGCCGTTTGTGGAAGTGGGGGTAGGTTCTCTTATCTACCCCGTTAGGATTCACGTTACAGGGGTCAACTGTACAAGTCTGGACCTGCTTAGAAGTTCCTCGGAGTGACTCCCTGCCAGGCCAGACAAGGTGTGGTGGGCAGAAAGCCGTCTTTTTTGGTTGTTTTTAGGATGGCCTCACTATACAGCGCTGGTGGCCAGGAACTCACTGTGAAGATCAGACTGGCCTCATGGTGGTCCTCCTGCTTCTGCCTCCCAAGTCTGGAATTATAAGTGCATTCCACCACACCAGGCCTAGACATGCTGCCTTTGAAGCCAGAATGATTGGACTTGAATCTTAGCTGTGTACTGTATCTTCTCTGAGCCAATGTCGTTTTCTAAAATGCTGATACCCCAAGAGCCCGCTTCACAGAGTGTTAAAACTGATGATCTCAGCATATATGTTTGTGTTGATTTAGTTCTAATGTTTAACGGTCTGAGGTTCCGGGAAGACCTAGATCCTGGCTAGTTGATTGGAGCCTTGCTATCACACATATGCATACAAGTGGTCTTCTGTACTTTACTATATAACCTTTACATCAAGATCCACCACAATGCTAGCAGGTTTCTGTGCGTGTGCGTGTGTGCGTGTGTGTGTGTGTGTGTGTGTGTGTGTGTGTGTGTGTGCGTGTGCGCGTGCGCGCGCGCACGCATTAATCACCACACCCTTGCCCAACCTCTTTTACATCTTATTTTTCACAAGCCTGTTTCATGAGGTGCTGAGCATTGAACTTTGGGCTTATTCCTAGGTACAGAATCTATTACAGATAGAAAAATAAAACCACTAGCTTTTATGTATCCTAGCTGTGCCCAGGCTTCAAATAACTTGGGTTCTTTCCTTGGCAGAATAACACAATTTAAAGAAGCTATACTATACACCATGTTACCATGTCGTAAAAAGTGAGTGGCTTGTGGTAAGATGGGTTACAAAGAAAGGACAGAGGTGATGGATAGTAGTTGTTGCAGGGCAGTAAGCTCTCACTGGCCTTTCTCAGGCCTGCTCAGGGCTCCTGGCTGTCTTGCTTAGGACATGTTGTGAGGCTGGGGGCTGGGTTAACACCTCCACTCCTTACCCAGGGCAGTGGAGGTGACAGGTTCAGTCCCTGGTGCTTTGAGAGCTGGAGCTTGATTGGCACCAAATTCTACAACTCCAACCCTTCCTTTCACCTCAGTGAAGTATGTTGAAAAGCATTTGGGAGCTGGAGGTGTAGCTCAGTGTTAGCTTGCGAGGCCCTAGGATCCATCTCCAGCATCATGAAAATAAATCATTAATTTTTAATGAAAAGCACGTTGGGACCAGGGCGTGGCGCAGCAGTACAGCGCTTGCTTTACACACATGAGTAAGGCTTTGATTTCAAACCCGGCAGCACAAAAGCCAAATACAACAGCTTGGGGAATTGTTCCTCCAGCCCCATGGTGGCTGGAGAGTCATCAAGGCGGCCGCCTTCCAGGTCACTGGGATTCCTCAGGGTTAGAACAAAGGCTGTTGCCGGTAGCAAGATATGGAGAACCAGGGGAGGCTTGGAACTGTGTGGCACATCTTCCGGAACTAAGTGCTCTGGAATTTAAGTACTCAAAGGCCAGCACCAGCCTTAGAGAGCTCCCAGCCGTGAGGACAAAACCCTCTGTGAGAGTCAGGTCTCAGGAATGCACCTGCCCTGGTCTGCCAGTCCTTCAGCATGGCAAAGAGGGGCCATGAGAAAGCAGAGACGCCCCGACACAGATGAGGGATAGATCAGCCTGAGCTGTGGGCAGCAGGGGCAGCAAGAGCCAGGGGACAAGTGCCCTGTGGGTAGTGGAACACCCATATATAGTCCAGAGAAAGCCCAAGAGACTGAATGGGAATAGATGGTATGGAAGAGCCAGGAGAAACTGAGGCAGAGCACTGCACCCCAAACATCCCCCAAACTGCCTTTTGCAGAGGAGCTGTGCAGGATGTGGCCTGAGCATGGTCAAGGTCCCTAGAACGAGGAACACCACAGACCCTGCGGATGGGTCCAGGTATTGGCGTTTTAGTGTGCGGGTGTGGACAATGTCCTTGAAGCACACCTGAAGGAAGATGGTTTAGTCAGCACTCTACAGGGACAGAACCAAGATGAATACATGTGTTAAGTGACCTGTAAAATAGTGACAGCGACTGAAACCACGCCTGAGGTTCTGAGAACCTGGCAGTTACTCAGTCCTTGAGGGTGGGTGCCTCCACAGTTGGGAAGTCCCACGATGGCTGTCCCTCACTGCTGGGGTGGGGAGGCAACAATCAGCAGTTACAGTGCCTCCGTAGTCTACTTGGAGCCTAGAAGAATCCTAGAGAGCCCCTGCTTCCTAGTCCATGAGGGAAGCTTGGAAACTTCTGCCACTGGTGAAGGATACAGCAACAGGAAGAATCAAGTTGGCGGCGTGTGTGTGTGTGTGTGTGTGTGTGTGTAAAAAGTGAGATGTCCTTCTGAAAGGCATTTTGAAATGCCTTATGAAAACCCTTTTTCATATGGGCTGCTACCTGAAGGTCCCACCCACAATCAGGGTGCACCTTCCCACATCAGTCAAGGCAATCAGGACAATCTTCAGGTGAGGCTCCTTACTCAAGAGATTCTAATTTGTGGCAAGTTGACATTAAAACCAACCATAATAGAGGACCTAGGAGGTCTGTGACCAATTGAAGCACATGGTACGGCCCTGCAGTGTCTCTCCCAGACATGCCAAGCTCCCTAGCCCACTGTGCCAGTTTCCCTGGCACTGGCAGAAGCCCTATTGCCCTGTAGGAACTGGGCCAGTAACCTCAATACCCGTTACCTTCAGCTTGTAGAGTCAGCCCCAGGGGATAGAAGTCTCTGTGGGTAGACGGGCAGAATGGGCAGTCTCTGTTGGGGGATCATAGCACCAGAGGCAGCCTGTGGCCAAGTGACCTGGGTTGTCAGTGTCCTCTTTATGCTGGTCAGTCAGTCTGTACATTTTGAGGTGCTGGGGATGGAACCCAGGGCCTTCTGTGTCCTAGACACATCCTTAGTTAGGCCACTCCTTAATTCATAGTACTCCATGTACCTAAACTTGGACTGTAATAAAGACAGGTCAAGAAACTGTTCTGACCGGGCAGTGGTGGCACACACCTTTAATCCCAGCACTCAGGAGGCAGAAGCAGGTGAATTTTTGTGAGTTCAAGGCCAGCCTGGTCTACAAAGCAAGTTCCAGGACAGCCAGGGCTATACAAAGAAACCCTGTCTAGCCGGGCGGTGGTGGCGCACGCCTTTAATCCCAGCACTCGGGAGGCAGAGCCAGGCGGATCTCTGTGAGTTCGAGGCCAGCCTGGGCTACCAAGTGAGTCCCAGGAAAGGCGCAAAGCTACACAGAGAAACCCTGTCTCGAAAAACCCAAAAAAAAAAAAGAAAGAAACCCTGTCTAGAAAAAACAAATATAACAAAATTGTTCTGAAATCTAAAGGTTGGATTTTTAGATAAATCTAAATCTAATATCAAAAGAAACAAAAACCAGATAATCAGGAGGGTGTATCTGCTCCTCTGTTTTGGTCCATAAGGCTCTTTGGACCACAAGTCACTGGCTTGCCGCTGCGGGGTTCCTGCGCTCTGTGCAGAGTGCAGGAATCTTCTCAGGCCCTATTTACCCTGATACACTGATAGCCCAGTAGCCTCCACAGACATGGTGCCTCCCTCCTCTCCCCTCCTTTCCCTACAGGGGAAATCTCTGGCTGGCTTAGGGGTCTGGGCCCACTGACATCACGACACAAAGCAAAACCCTGGGCCTCTTCCTGTTTGCACTCAGGCTTTTGACCCTTTTCTGTTTTATGCTCTGCTGTGCCCCTTTCTGAATGCAAGGCAGTCAGTGGCTTACAGAAAGAAATCAGGGGAAAA